CCCAGCTCTGGTCATGGTCTGGCAGCCATCTAGATAGTGAACCAATGAATGGAAGGAAGATCTTTGTCTGTATCTTCCTTTCTGTAATTTTGTCATCTCTCTCCTCTCTTTTGAAGAGCAAATGCACACTTATGCTTGAGAATGGATTAGAACCAGTAAGAAACACAAGCTAGGAGATCTACGGGAGACTGTAGGAGTCCAGCAAGTCACAGAAGTAACAAGGCTGTGGGGTCAGCACACAGCAGTACAGCAGGCTAGGCCACCCTCTGTGTTACCAGCATTCCATATGAGCACTGATTTGAGTCCCAGCTGCTCGACTTCTTATCCAGCTCCCTACTAATGGCCTGGGAAGGTAGCAGAGGATGGGCCAAGTCCCTGGGCCCCTGCATCTATGTGAGACCTAGAAGCTCCTGCCTCTCACTTTCACACCAGCCCAGTGCTGGGCATTGTAGCCACCAGGGGAGTAAACCAGCAGATGAAAGATCTCTGCCTTGGAAGGGGATCATGGTAAGGGACAGGTGCAGCGGATCGGCTGCTCTGTCAAGGGGACAGAGCTAACCAGAGCAGGATACAGTGGATCACTTGTGCTGGTGTTTAAATCCCAGCATGACCACCTGCCAGTGCTGATCTCTCCCTCAGAGGATTCACTGCACTTGTATCTGGAACCAGGAAAACACTGATCCTGAAAAAAATAGTAAAAATTCACTTATTTGGAAGGCAGAGTTAGAGAGAGAGAAGGAGAGAGACAGAAATTTTCCATCTATTGGTTCACTTCCTAATGAATACAATGGCTGGAGCTGGGCCAGTTTGAAGCTTCTTCCATGTCTCCCACGTGGGTGCAGGGGTGCTCGTTGACCATCTTCTGCTTTCCTAGTCACAATAGCACGGAGCAGGATTGAAAGTGGAGAAGCCGGGACTTGAACTGGTGTCCATATGGGATCCCAGTATCGGGTAACACCTTAACCCACTATGCTATCATGCTGGCCCTGACTGAGGAAGACTTAATGGCATTTCTTGCAGGTCTATATATGACCCCACAAGTTCAGTTTCTTTAATTTATTTTCACTCTTTTCTTCCACCTACATGGACCGAAGGATTGACTCTAAGCTTTCGTGGGTGCATTCCTTTCTGTTCCCCCCATAGCAGCAGCAACAGGATGGGAGGTTGAGCAACAAAGCAGGAGCCCCTCTGGGGCAGGGCCTCTGACCTCCCCCAGGGCCTCTGACCTCCCTCAGCGCCTCTGACCTTTCTAGATGCAGGGGAGAAGGCCTCTAACCTCCCTCAGGGCCTCTAACCTCCCTCAGAGCCTCTGGCCTCCCCCAGGGCCTCTGGCCTCTCCCAGGGCCTTTGACCTCCCTCAGGGCCTCTGACCTCTCTGGATGCAGGGGAGAAGGCCTCTAACCTCCCTCAGGGCCTTTGACTTCTTGGGGGGAGGTGGGCAGAACCTCTGACCTCCCATGGGACCCCTGACCTCCTGCAGGGCTTCGGACCTCCCTTGGCCAAGGTTTCTGACACTACCAAGTCAGCTCCACGTCTGCACAGGTGTTCTCACAAGGTGCTTTGGGGAATGGTGCCAACACTGACGGGGACCTTGGCTCAGCCTCCAGAAACATCATAAGGGGTTTCTAATGAGGGTCTCCAAAGGCGGGAGGCTGCATCCAGCAGCTCCCACTTTCTGCCCTTAGGACAGGTCAGTGGGGAATATAAAAGAAAGCATGCACCTGACATCTTTAAATCTGGAAGGGAAGCTGGAGGGAGTAAAAAGATTGAGAACTCAGTGCAAATTAGTATCGCCATAAATGCCTCCTATGACAGCCGGTTGTGCAATTCACAGGCCCGCCAGGAGGGGGCAGGGTACAGTGACTTGGACTTGGGGGTGGTCTTCGTTCTCCCTCTTGGCAGGCACTTTATCCTGGCCCAGGCTCTTGATCAATGAAACAAAGCTGATGTAACAGCACCTATACAGCACTGTGGCTGGGAGGACCAAGCCTCCCAATCAATCCACAGCATGCAGCGGAGCACTAAGACTCTGAGTACTCCTTACATGGGGCCTGAGTTACCATCACAGCTCCAGCATCCCTAAAGGTGCTACCCACCCTCCCTCACAGCACACTTATCCTGAGAGTCACCGCACCAACAGGGGCTGGCTGTTCTCTCCAGGCTGACAATGTCTCCCTCTCCACAGCCAACCTGATGGAGAGAAAAAGAGGGGAACAAGAAGGGAAGCTTTGTCCTATACTAAGCTTGTTGACCAGACCTGTGGGTTTAGAGTGCTGCTGGCCTGGACTTCTGGTCTACCTGCGAGGAGGCAGTTTTTTAGTTGTGTCTGTGTCCTTAATGGGCTGTTTTCGGGGGAATGCAACCTCTGCAAAAGGAGCTGGCCACCATTAGAGCTGCCCATCTTGCTGGTGTAAGGAGCACTGGACCAGGAATCTTCTTCACCTGAGTTGGTCTGCACCTCATTAGCCATCATTTCCTTGGCGATACCTGTCCATTCACAGCCTAAGTGAGCCACACCTGCCTTTGTCTCTCCAGCATCTCCAGGAGTGCCTATGGCTGGTGTAGTGGCCAGGGTTCTGTTGAGGCATAACTCATAGGATGTGTAGATAAAGTTAGGGAGGGGGGTCACACCGGGGGGATTGGCCCACAACATGTGGTCTGCAAGCTGGAGACCCTGAGATGACGTCAGTGCGGCTCAGTCTGAGCCTAGGGGTCTTAGAAGCAAGGCAGCTGAAGATGTAGCTCTGAGCTCAAGACTGGATGCCCAGGCACAGGAGGGGGCCTGCTGGAGCATGTCCTGAAGTCCAGAGGCCAGCAATTGAGGGCCAAAGTAGGGGGAGAGTGTATCCTCGTTCTGGAGAGAGAGACAAATTCGCCTTCAACATTTCTTCTCCACAAAGTTCCAGCCAAATGATAGTGTCACCTGACATGGAGTCAGAACCTTCCCGAAGAGTCCACACAGACCCAGGTGCCACCTGTGGTTTGGAAACTCACTCGTGGCATACCCCAAACAAGGCACTTCCAGATTTCTTGGAATTCTTACATTCAGTCAAGGTGAGCCTCCCTGCTCACCATCAGAGTGAATGACCCAGAGCTCCTTCTGCTGTGCCTCAGACAAGTTAGTTCTCAAGCAGGATGTCCCTTTCTTATTTTATACTCTTTAAAAAAATATTTTGTTTTTATTGGAATGTCAGATATATAGAGAGGAGAAAAGAGAGGAAGGTCTTCCATACATTGGTTCACTCCCCAAGTGGCCGTAATGGCCAGAGCTGAGCTGATCTGAAGCCAGGAGCCCGGAGCCACTTCCTGGTCTCCCACATGGGTGCAGGATCCCATGGTTTTGGGCTTTCCTTGACTGCTTTCCCAGGCCACAAGCAGGGAGCTGGATGGGAAGTGGGGCTGTCGGGATTAGAACAGGCACCCATATGGGATTCCAGCATATGCAAGGTGAGGACTTAAGCCACTAGGTTACCACTCTGGGCCCAGAATGTCCGTTTCCTATCAGATGCAAGGATGGTCAGCATGGCATCTTGCCCTGCTCCCCAGTGGTGACATTGCAAAAGGAGGGAAGATGATTCCAGAAGAGTGACTGCTGCTGCCAACATCCCAAGGAGCATGAGTGGGAGGAGCATGGCTCTCAGTCTCACTGAGCAAATGCGTGTAGCATTGCATACGGAGCAGGATGAGCTGGAGCTGAAGGGATGCAGCAGATGCACACAACAGTCCCAGGTTGCCACTCCTCTGCCTTGGACAGGCAAGCCAGGAGACAGGAGATCATGCACTCTGCATGGCCGTTGTGCAGCAGGAAGCACTGAGGTTGGGAGCCCAAACACCAATGATGCTCAACCAGGAAGACAGAAATGAGCTAAGTCACCTTGGGTCAACTTGAGACATGTTTTTCTTCATTATGGAGGTAGAGTCCGGTACAGACGTGGTCTCTATGCTCCATGATATTCCTTTCTCCATAGGGGTACAGCTTTGGCTTAACTGGCTACATGGCCTCCTAACACTTGTCTGCACATGCTGTGGCATCCCTTGCTCTCCAATGACACTAACATCTTCAGGGGAGGGAATATCGATCATGTTCTCCAGACCCCCAGCTTGGGCCTGAGTGAGAGTGACTTACTGTGCCTTAATACAGCTCCGATTGCCTTGAACAGAGAGAAAGCAGCGTGGTGAGAGCAGGACAGGTCAAAGGGATCGGGAACAGGCCCTAGGATGGGGAGCTGGACGCTGAGCAGGACACTGGAGGTCCTACTGCAAAGACCAAGCCTGAAACAGCAGGAGGAGCCAAGGTCACACCGGATTAGCATTGTAATTGTGCAGTCTTGGGCCCAGGAAAATCCGGGCTAAGTTTAATGCCATTCCTACATGGCTGGCACTGCAGCGCTCAGGCCAGGGCTTGCAGGAGTCCACCCAGAACCCGTGTGGGTTTGTCCCACTTGCAGTCTAGCTGGCCTGGCACACGCACTGGATTAGGAGCACAGGGAGAGCCTGGTGAACCTGGGAGAAGAGTGGGAAGCAGGGGCGGGCTCAGGTCCTCCTGCTGCTGACCAAGGTCAGGCTGTGATGGGCACCAGGGGGACTGGAGACGGACCAGCACTTGGCTTGAGGGTGAAGGAGCTGAAAGAAGGCCTTCCCCCAGGAGAGCAAACAGGGCACAGAGGCCGCGGGCAAGGCTGGGGTTTGCAGCTTCACTGCGCTGAGGGCGGGTTCTGGAGAGACCACAGGCACCCTCTCCGGATGCACAAGACGCGCTCACTGCCAAGCACTGCCAAAAGGAGGATTTTCCAGAAAAGCCTCATGAAAGTCAACAGGCTATTAAGCCTGATCGTTGGAAAAAGAAAGCTCAGTGTGCAGGCTAGTGCTGCGGCCGCGTGTGTTCTGCGGAGGCGGAGGCGTGGGGGGTGGCCGGGGAGACAGCGGCAGCTTTGTGCGCCCTGGGGCCTGCGCGGGTGTTGCTGCATCTCCGCGCACACCGCGGCAGGCTCCCCCCCACCATGCAGGCGCTGCTCTACACCTCTGTCCTGCTCAGTGAGCTGGCACAGGTAAGTCCCTTCTCCTTACTCCGGACACCGAGTGCTCCCGAGCCAAAAATAAAGGGAAGCAGCGGGGATGCGTTCCGTGTGCAGATGTTTGGAGAGAGAAATAAGGAACCATTTTTTCCCCCTCTAGATCAAGTCTTGTTTAAGTACATCAGCTTCAGGCAAGAAATAAGCCAACCTTCCGTGTTTGCACAGACTCCAAGCTTTGCCACTTCTCTAATCCGAGACCTGCACACCTCCGGGCCTGGCGGGCGGGGTCTGTCATGGGGGCGGGGGTGGAGAGGCCAGGCCTCTGCTGGCCTTCTTTGCAAGGAGCCCCTTACAAAATGTGTGTGTGTGTGAGCGCAACGGCCGATGCTATGCCGATCCGAAGCCAGGAGCCTCTTCCAGGTCTCCCATGCGGGTGCAGGGTCCCAAAACTTTGGGCTGTCCTCGACTGCTTTCCCGGGGCGCAGGCAGGGAGCTGGATGGGAAGCGGGGCTGCCGGGATTAGAATCGGCGCCCATATGGGATCCCGGGCGTGCAAGGGGAGGACCTTAACCACTGCGCCACCGCGCCGAGCCCACAAAATGTGTTTTAATAGCTTGTATTCAGTTCAGTCTGCTCTGCTTGCAAGGAAATTTCCAGAACACATATTTCCCGAGCATGGTCTTGTGAAACCTTTTTTGTTTGAGAGATGATGGTGGGGAGAGAGGCAGACGACTTGGATCTTTCCCAAAGCGGCCTTTGTCTCTGCATGGTTCAAGTGTTTTTTCTCACTTTGCCCCAAAGGGAGGCAGTCCCTGCAAGTTTTGAAATAGTTCCAGCTGCAGACAGAAAAGCAGTTGGATTGAACGTTGATCAAGTTATTGCTGAGTACAACTCCATGTAAGGTGAAAGCAGGGCACCTCATTATGGAAGCAAATACATGGCGGAGGTGACAGCTGGCCCAGTGGGCACAGCTGAGATCTTCTGGAAAGTCAGAGGGCATAGAAACACCTGTGGCTTCCTGGGTGCTTGTGGCTGGCAGTAGGTTAAGCATGTGGCTCAGAAGTCATGAAGTGGAATTGCTCTGCTGTGGGTAGATTTACCACCCTTGAAGGACTGGAGTGTCAGGGATATGGGTCGTGTGGGTCTGTTGTGATGTGCAAGGGCAGGTGGCACTGGGCCTTGCCTGTCCCCATCCACCTTTCTGAGAAAAGGCCTGTCTCCATGAAGGATTCTGAGCTGTTGCATGTTCTGAGTAACAGCTAAAGTTCTGGAAGCAAGAGGGCTGAATTCACACACACACACACACACACACACATACACACACACAGAGGTGTCCTACATACAACAGTAAAAAAGCACTATGTTGTGTTTTTCTCTTCTGTAACTTTTTGAGGAGTCTAATAATAATAATACATCCTGTTTGTTGAGTGTCTGCCGTGTGCCAAGCAGGTTCGTCATTATTTCAACACTCAACTCAACGGTGGGGATTGTTAGTTCCATTTGAGAATTTCTATGTATTTGAAAGGCAAAGGGAGAAAGAAAGATCTGCCCTCTGCTGGTTTACTTTCAAAATGCCTACAACAGCCAGTCTTGGGGTAGGTCAAAGCCAGGAGCCTAGAATTCTACTTGGGTTTCCCATGTAGATGACAGGGACCCAAGCAGTTGAGCCGCAGCTTGCTGCCTACCAACATGTGTAGTAGCAGAAAGCCGGGTGGGGGGTAGTACCAGGACTTACGTGGGAATAGCAACAGGGGATGTTGGTGTCCCAGGTGCATCCTAGCTGCTGTGCCTCGAGCCTGTCCCTGCGAGTCCCGTTTGAAAGGGGAGGGCTGGGACTGCTTCAAAGGTCAAATGAAAGCCAGTTAGCCACAGAGCGATAGGGAAGCTCAGAACAGCCATCCAAATGCTCATTCTTCCTGTTGCACCGTTCACATGGTCCTCTTGTTTAGAGACTTGACTTTTGAAAACCATCAAAATATGAAGAATGGCAAGAAAAATTCAAAATTTATGAGCTTTTTCATAACACACCTTTTCTGCGAACTTTTGAAGATCCCTCCTTCGTTGTATTCACCACATTTGTGTGATTTCTGGGCCTGTTTGCTGCCTGAGTTTCTATTGGACTGTCCTGAGTGTTTCGTGGGAAGCAGCTCTGGTAGTAACACATTCTCTCAGCTTCTGTTTGTCTGCAAAGACCTTTTATTTCACCTTTTATTTATTTATTTATTTATTTTTTAAAGATTGATTTAAGTTGGGCCTGGTGCAATAACTTAGTGGCTAAAACTTTGTCTTGCAACCACAGGGATCCCATATAGGCACTGGTTTGCATCCTGGCTGCTCCACTTTCCATCAAGATCCCTGCTTGTGGCCTGGGAAAGCAGTGGAGGACGGTCCAAAGCCTTGGGAACCTGTATCTGCATGGGAGACCTGGAAGAACCTTCTGGCTCCTGACTTCAGATTTGCTCAGCAATGGCTGTTGCGGCCACTTGGGGAGTGAATCAGCAGATGGAAGATCTTCCTCTCTGTCTCTCCTTCTCTCTGTAAATCGTCCTTTCCAATAAATTAAATCTTGAAAAAAAGATTTATTTAAGTTGAAAGAGTTGCAGAGAGACCAAGAGAGACAAAAATGGCACAGAGAGACATCCGCTACCCACTGGTTCACTCCCTAGATGGCCACAACGACCAGGGCTCAGCTGGTAGAAGCCAGGAGCTTCCTCTGGGTCTCCTATGTGTGAACAGAGTCTCAGTGCCTTGAGCCATCCTCTGTTGCTTTCCCAGGTCACAAGCATGGAGCTAGATTGGAGCAGGCAGAACTACAACCAGCACTCATATGGGATGCCAGAGCATCAAAGTGAGGATTAACTGGCTATGCCACATTGCAAGTCTCACTTCACTTTCATTCTTTTTTTAAAACAATTTTAGTTTTCCATGATACAGTTTTGTAAGTGCAGATGTTCATTTTCTACCTCTCCTTTCTCCTTCCCCATTGTTCCATCCTGCCATTTTCCCCACTGTTATCACAGTAGTCCCTTAGTACAAGCTACAAGTTTGACTTTATAATATTTAAATGCATCATGATACGGAAGAAAACCCAGTATTATAATACAGAGGTGTATTTGAAAGTTTCACTGAGATCCCTACTTTTATTTGGGAGTGGACATGCGTGCTGCACAGTACCTTCACTGTCCCATGTGCTGGCTCCCCTTGTGCAGTTCACATATATAGATAGAGCCGTGTGTGTGTGTGTGTGTGTGTGTGTGTGTGTGTGCATTTACTTTGCATATTGGCTGTCTTACATCAGAGAGAACATCTTGTATTTGTCTTTTGGGTCTGACCTTCTTCACTAAGCGTAATGGTTTCCAGCTCACCTTCATCCGTACAGAGAGTTCACTGTTTATAGAATTCTAGATTGACACATTTTTGCTTGTTTTTCTTTCAGCACTCTTTCTGGGTACCTCTCCTCTCTCATTTCTTTTAAGAGATTTATTTATTTAGAAGGAAGAATTATATGGGGGGGGGAGGAGGAAGAGAAGGAGGGGAAGAGAGAAAAAGAGCGAGAGAGATCCTTCATCTGCTAGGTCACTTCCCAAATGGCTGCAGTGACCTGGCTGAGGCAGGCAGAAGCCAGGCGCCTCCTCTGGATCTCCCACATGTGTGCAGGTGCAGCTTTCTCAGATCCACTAGCAGGGAGCTGGATGGGAAATGGAGCAGCAGGGACTTGAACCGGCGTCCACATGGGATGCGGGCATCACCAGTGGCAGTCTTACCCTGTACTCCAGAACTCCAAAACACCAGCTCCTGAATGCGATACTTCCCTCTGACAGCTTTATTTTTTGCTGTCAGATTTCAACAGTGTTACCTTTTGACCTCAGAGATAATCTGGAAATGCTTCAAGAATAGAAGGAGAAGCAGGTGTCCTCAGGAGGGAAGTTTGAAATGTGGACTCTTCGTTAGGGAGCAACTTGGGAAAAATAAAAGTGGAGAACCCCAGGATGGAGTGTCTCATAAATGAGACGGTGTGGAAGGAGAACCTGCAGAGGCACAGCAATTAGCAAGGGAAAGTACAAAAGTCCAAACACATTGTGGACACCAGGGGGCACTGATAGGCTTTATGGAGAGGAATACATCAACCGGATGCATTGCATTGTTCCTTTATTTTTAAAAGTGATAACTGTTTTATTTATTTCATTTATTTCAAAGGGACGGGGGAGAAAAAAAGGGAAGGAATGAGAAGCAGGTATGAGTGGAGGGAGGGAAGGAAAGAGAGAGAGAGAGAGAATCTTCCACCTGCTAATTCTTTCCACAAATGTCCCAAACAGTGAAGATTGAGTCAGGCTGAAGTCAGGAACCTGAAACTTTATCTAGGTCCCCATATGGGTGACAGGGACCCAAGTACTTAAGCCATCCATCATCAGCTGCTTCTCAAGGTTCAATCTAGCTGGAAGCTGGATTTGGGAACAGCATCAAGATTTGAATTTAGGTGCTTCAGTATGGGCTGTGAACGTCCCAAGCCATGTCTTATAACAGTGTGCCAAACAGCTGTCCTGAAACGTGTTCTCTAAGGAGATCCCTCCAGTGGTTGTGTTGTAGAGGCCATTAAGAATCCATTCTCATAAGGGAGAGACCTGGCAGGAAATAATCACACCAGTGCTTAGAGTAGTACAGTGGGGAGGAATGACGAGAGCTAGCGATGCAAAGACAGTAGAATCAACAGGATGTTACTGAATGGCTGTGGATGGAGAGGGTGAGGAAGATAACCTGAGAGACTCCTGGCTTCCTGGCCCCCAACTTGGAAAAAGCTGTTGGGGCTGAGTGATGACGAGCTTTGGATCTGTTCCCGATGAGACATTGAGGGTGGTGATGTACAGGAGGCAGCCAGCTATGTGGATGGAGCTCAGTGGAGAAGTCCCGGTTGGAAATTTGGTTTTGAGGTTGTCTAGGATGGAAACTGAAGGCAAGGTGGTGGTTGACATAATCATGAGCCTGTGCAGAGGGACAGGAATCTGCTAAGGGTAGGAAACACCAATAAGCCTAGATCTAAGAGGAATGCAGTGTTAACAAGATCCTGCAAAGTTTATGGGAGAGAGAGCCGAGTCCTAGAAGCTGAGTGAACGTGTTGGAGGGAGCAATTGTGTCAAATCCTGAGATTTATTGTAACTCCCCAATCTACATTCTATCTATTTAGGGGACTTGCCCTGGAATTCACTCAAGAATCCATTCTAACCTTGCTTTTTTTTATCACATGCAGTCCTGCTGCTGGGCCCAGGGTGTTGGGCCAGCAGACATGGCACTTGGAGGCACACCTGGAGAAGCAGTCGAGGTGCATCAGCGGAAGCAGTTTTGTCACTGGCCATGCAAATGCCCAGCTCCGAGGCCCAGCTGCCCTCCCGGAGTGAGCTTGGTGAGGGATGGCTGCGGGTGCTGCAAAACCTGTGCCAAGCAACCGGGGGACATCTGCACTGAAGTGGATGTGTGTGACCCGCACAAGGGGCTGTACTGTGACTACTCGGCTGACAGACCTAGGTACGAGACCGGAGTGTGTGCACGTAAGTGTCTGTCTGGGCCTGTTGACAAAGGCCACACAGGTGTCTTCTACATCTGATGGTTTGCAGTTTGCGTAGGTTGGCTAAACAGGAAGTGGGTTGTACTTTAATGTTCCAGTGGGACTGGCTCACTTCTATTGGATACCATATGCTCAAAAACTTATTGTTTTAATTGATATGGTCTTGTAATGATGTTTTCAGGTACTTGCTTTTTTTTTATTGGAAAGGCAGATATACAGACAGGAGATACAAAAAGATCTTCTGTCCGTTGGTTCACACCTCAAGTGGCCTCAACAGCCAGAGCTGAGGTGATCTGAAACCAGGAGCCAGGAGCTTCCTCTGGGTTTCCCACATGAGTGCAGTGTGCCAAGGCTTTGGGCCTTCCTCTACTGCTTTCTCATGCCACAAGCAGGGAGTTGGAAGGGAACTGGAGCAGCTGGGACATGAACTGGCAGCCATATGGAATCTCAGTGGGTATAAGAGGGGCATTGAACCACTGAGTCATTGCCCTAGGCCCATCAGGTACTTACTTTTTTTTTTTTTAATTGGAAAGACAGATATACAGAGGAGGAGAGACAGAGAGGAAGATCTTCTGTCCGATGGTTCACTCCCCAAGCAACCACAATGGCTGGAACTGAGCCAATCCGAAGCCAGGAGCCTCTTCCTGGTCTCCCACGCGGTGCAGAATCCCAATGCTTTGGGTCGTCCTCGCCTGCTTTCCCAGGCTACAAGCAGGGAGCTGAATGGGAAACAGGGCTGTCAGGATTAGAACCAATGCCCATATTGGATCCCGGCATGTTCAAGGCAAGTACTTTAACCACTACGCCTTTGTGCCGGGCCCCCAGTTGCTTGCTTTTTATAAAAGAAAATAAACGATGTCCATAGAGCCCAAGTTCTGAAAGTGACATACAGGGACACTTTCAGGTCTGTCAAAAGCAATCTAAAGACATCCTTTTCTGTAACAGTGAAACAATCTTGCTTAAACATATCAGAATATTTATCCTGCAGTCAGAAGCACTCCTTGAAGCCCAGCTGTCTAAATTATGCATTGAATTTGTGTGCTTGTTTATGTATTAGAAATACACACACAACACCAAACAACAATAAACAACCAAAACAGAACAAAACAGGGTCACCCAAATCACAATCTGATTCTAGACTTCATGGATTTCCAGCTTCTGGTGACTGACTCATCTAAACCTATACCACATGGGCAATAACTCAAGGTATAAATTTAAATGAAAAGATAAAAAGCAAAATTCCTAGAAGAAAAGGACTTGTGTCTGCAAGGCAGTTTAGCTCTTCCATGGAAAATTCTTAAGTGGGGATGTGAATTTTCGCCAGCAATTCCCTTGTGAGCATGGGACAAGAGTGAATCTTTGTAACAGGACTGTGTAAGGCTGCTTGGATAAGAGTGAGTGTAGTTGGACTGAGTGTGTAAAGCTGCTTGTTGGGCCTCTTACTGCCTGTTGGTGCCATGCTGTACAGGTTAAGAATGTGGGATCTGAGTTCGAATCCTGATTGCTCCACTGGGTGGCATGCATCAACTCATTTAATCTTCCAGAGCCTCATTCACATGACCTGTGGTTCCTAGCCTGTAGAGCTGCTGGGAAGAGCTCACGAAGTAATGATCTACACTCTTAGCACAACCTCTTGTATGCCATAGGCTTTCAAACACATTTATTTCATGGGAGAATTCAGTGGATGGGAAAATGTGACCCAACAATGACTCTTCCATTCAGCACACCCTTTTCTCCTAAATTGCGCAAGTCACTTCATCAACCTCACAGAAATGGTGGTTGACAAGAGGGGGACACAATAGGGACAAAAAGACATTGGCCTCCCAGAACCCAAGTCCACTGTATCGGACACATCTTTCCAGAAGTAATTCCATACAAAATATGATGAGACTTTTAATGATACCTGCCTTAAAGATCGGGATGGGGGTCATCTATACCTGGGGTCACAAGCTGGGGTTGGAGGCCACATCCAGCTCATAGTCTCCTTAAATATTAATAGATAGTAACATTTTATTGGAACACAGTCCATTCACTTACAAAATCCTGCAGTTTCTTTCCAAGGGCATTTAGTGGTTTGAGCAAGCTCAATTATGTTCTGCAAAGACATTTTCATGCAGCTCTTTAAGGATTTGCTGATCCTTGATCTACAAAAATTTTTCCTTTCTGTCTTTTTAAAGAGACTGATTATTTGACAGTAGAGTAACAGATTGAGAGACAAGGAGAAAGAGCTTCCATCTGTGGGTTCATTCCCTAAATGCCTGTAAAAGCCAAGAGTGGATCACGCTGAAGCCAGGAGCCAGGAACTCGATCTGGGTCTCTCATTTGGGTGCAGGGGCCCACAAACTTAGGGCATCCTCCACCGCCTTCCCAGGTGCATTGCCATGAAGCTGGACTGGAAACACTACAGCTGGAACTCTCACTTGCTCCAGTACGGGATTTCAGTGTCCCAATCAGCAGATTAATGTAGTAAGCCACAATGCTTGTCCTAATTTTTTTTTCTGGTCTGAGAATCCCTTTAAATTAATGAGGAACTAAATAGCTTTTGTTTATGTGGGTTTTATCTATTGTTATTCAATAGCTTATTGAATATTTTAAAATATTTTAGAATAACCAACTCTCAAATGAACAAGAATGTAATTTTTATGGAAAAACTTACTTCCTAAAGCAAAGAGACATTTAGTGAGAAAAGTTGACATTTTTGTTCATCTCTCTGATATCTAGTTTAGTGGAAGGCAGCTGAATTCCCTTACCTGCTTCTGCTCAGCCTGTCACTGTGTGTATTTTTCTGGTTGAAATAGTGCAGCTAAAGATAATCTGATTTCTCACAGGTATGTAACTGGAAAACAAATAATTATTTTCACTGGCTTTTCAGATATTTGTGAATATACTTTTTATATTAAAACATGAGAAGTGATAGTGCTTTAAAATTAGCTGCATCATGGAATTTAAAATCCCATCAATGAATTTTTGGTGCTGTGACATTAGGACATATAAATCCATCCAAAAATTCATTTGAAATGCATAGATGCATATAATCTTGTAATTTTATGTACTGATTATTTGGAAAATATTTATATTACATAGATGCTCAGATATTGATGTATTTAGTTTTATTTTTAAGATCACATAAATTAATATCACTTCTATCACCAAGTTGTATGTGTTGGTTAGTTACAGACATCTCGGTGGTGGATACAAGCTCCCCAAACTCAGTTATTTATTTGAAAGCTTGAATTCTACCAGTGGCAACAAATATTGTCAGTTGTTGGATGTGATAGTCTCCCCTGCTTTGCAGGGCAATGTCTTCTGAAGGCCAATGTCTGAACAACCGCAGTTGATCTGCCATCTTTTTCAAGTGAAAGACCTGCTTACAAAGAGGCTAGTTTGATTCATAGCTTAGAAACAGCACAGGTACTTTCCTTCCAGACAGCCTCTAGAATGTTCTACATGTCCTTCTTGTTTTGTCATACTGAGTATGAGACAGTATGCTCTTGCCTGATTTAACAGAATTAATAGCATTTCCTCTATTATCCAGGACACCCTTAGGCAAAACCAGCTTCAAAACTTTTTAAAATATACAACTGCACGGCAAGGAAAAACGCAATGACTGCTTGTTTGGTTTGTTCCATGTGAAGGCCCAGCTGTTCTAACCACTGTTGCTTTGTGCTGCCAGTGCAAACACCTCCAGAGTAGCTATTTGTAGTTTGGGAGGAATTCTAAGCATGCTGATGGCCTGAAAACACGTGAGCTGCTGCCAAGTGGTGGGTGGACCATGTTTGGAGGACGCTGAGCCAGAAGGGAAGAACTCCCCACCGAGAGAGTGAAAGTTTCCTGCAAAGACTTCAATAAACAAAAGAACTGCCTTACTCTGCATGACGGGAGTTAAATGCTTCATGGTTTCTTCAGACATTTGCTTAAACCCCATCTCCCTAGGAATGTCCCCTACCCTACTGTCAGCCATCTGGGGAGACCTCAGTCCCATCAGGGTTCATCTTTCAGAGGGATAATCCCCACCTAACTGGTGGAGTATCAGCTACTTATTTAAAAACAGAAAATTATCCCAGAATGGGGCCTTTTATGTTCTCTTCCTTAGAAGTGACCTTGGGTGCCCACGGCTCTCCTGGGAAGGAGATTCCAAATGGGGCCTAAGACATTCATGACTGTATTTTACACAGAGATATACAGCTATCTCTTCTGTGGGTTCTTATGGGAAACTGGATCATCATTGCAAATTGTGACTTCCTTGGTGATTTTGTTTTTTTCTCCTTTTCAGACCTTGTAGCTGTGGGATGTGAGCTGAACAGGGTCCATTATCGGAATGGCCAAGTATTTCAGCCCAACCCCCTGTTTAGCTGCCTGTGTGTGAGTGGGGCCATCGGATGCACTCCTCTATTCATCCCACAGTTGGCTAACCAACTCTGCTCTGGAGCCGCCGGTGGAAAGGAGTCCGACCGGTCCCGCTGTGGCCTGAGATCCTTACAGCAGGAGCTCTCAGCAAGCTACGCAACCATGCCAGGTGCTCACAAGTGCAGCTATCTTTCTTACACAACTTCTGGTGGTTTACTTCCATGTTTTAAAAATCCAGTTACTCTGTGAATATTTATTGCTCAAGGCTCAGAGGGAGATTGAGCTTGAGTGTTCCACCATTTTCTGTCTGCTTGAGGCAGGCCTAGACTAAGTATATGAAAAGGAAACATGATAATGCATTAGATTTTTTTCCAGTGCAGTATTTCAGTTTTTTTTTTTAAAGATTTATTTATTTATTTATTGGAAAGTCAGATATACAGAGAGGAGGAGAGACAGAGAGGAAGATCTTCTGTTTGCTGATTGATGGTTCACTCTCCAAGTGAGCGTGATGGCCGATGCTATGCTGATCCAAAGCCAGGAGCCAGGACCTTCTTCCAGGTCTCCCACACGGGTGCAGGGTCCCAAGGCTTTGGGCTGTCCTTGACTGCTTTCCCAGGCCACAAGCAGGGAGCTGGGTGGAAAGTGGAGCAGCCAGGATTAGAACTGGCACCCATATGGAATCCCGAGGCATGTTCAAGGAGAGGACTTTAGCCACTAGGCCACACCACCGGGCCCGTGTATTTCAGTTTTTAAAAACTTTAGTTGTTCAGGAAACTGTTAAAACAGTATACCTCAGCTATTGCTAACCTCTTTTCAGGAAAAATTCACTAAATTTTGTTTATGCATACCCTGGAAACAGTTGTACCGGAGTTATTCTATTAAGGGCAAGAATCTTCATCATCCTGTTTCCCAAACTTTCTTTTTTTAAATTATTCAAATATGTTTATTATTTACCATGATACAGTTTTATAAGTATAGGAAGGTCCCAAAATTTCAAAAGCACATTTTCTGTACAGTATAAGCAGAAATTTGAGGGTTGGCATGTCTTCAAATTTTCATTATTCCTAGAACTATAAAACTGATGAAACTTTTATTCATTCTGAAATTGAAGTTTAACAATTCCACTCCTGTTCTCCAAACATTCCTCTCCCTATATGCCACACGCACGCACAGACTTTGGAAGCACACGGCTCATGTGTGCACGTGGTCAGCAAAATTCATCAGGATTCATTAGTTATGATCTCAAGGACCTGGCTTCTTGCAGTTAGCTTAAATCTATTCCTGCACCTTGAATTCTGGTCTGCTGTAAGCATCTTAGTTAAGTACCAGGGTATTCTGAGGACAGGAGTGTTTCATAAACACGCAAGTGAAGCACAGGAGAAGGACTTCAAAGAAACAAAGTACTGTTCCCATCCGTGTTCTTAAGCAGAAATCAAGAATGCCTTTTGGTTGAAATTTAGGGCTTAGTGACATTGTCATGGAAATACAAGCCATCTGTACATGCTAGGAGCTCTCAAGTTTATTTTCATTATTTAGATCTTTAATAAAAGCAGCTATCGATAGAGAAACGAGTTCTATGTATTTAAAAATTCCAGAACAGGACCCCATTGTGCCACTTAATTTAACAGAAAAAAAGTTTTTTTAAAAGCCAGGCTATAGTGCATTTATTAAGCATAGTTACTTAACTAACAGCATGGCATAATGAATGCTCCGAAACCTCTGAAATTATAAGCCAACTTGTTCTTTTAAAATATAAAGGAACAGTTAGTTTTTGCCATTGATTCTTAGTGACTGCATGCAAGGCAGTACCCATGTGTGGATTTTCTTGGGGAGACCGTGTTACAGCAGTAACTTTCCATAGTCAGGCTCCTGGGATGAGTTTCATGTTTGTGGACTTACAGCAGTTTTAGTGGATTCTCTTGGAGCCTGGTTAGGAATCGGATGGTCCTTCTCTGTGGCTTCTTACTGCTAAAAGAAGTGAGAATCTCCCAGTGCCCTCTGAGCTGGAGATTTAGACCTGGATTTGTTTCAGAGAAGTGTATGCTCAGTCTCCTGTCTCTTCTCTGCTTAATTGTGACAGTGTATTTAGGAGCTATAGAGGAATGTGGCTTCAATGACAGAAACATATTTTGAGATTTATTTGTAATAGTAATTAATACATGTGGGCTATGGCTGGGACAGTATGTAGCACAGAATGATATAACACCTTCATGCTTTTCATAATGCTTACCAAACCCTAAGCTTTTCCTTAAAAAAAAAAAAAAAAAATCTCTAGTTTTCCTGCTTTTTAATGGAAATTGAGCACATTACCCTGAGCGGCAGCTCTTGGTTTCGCGTTAGGGATGGTGACTGGCAACGCGGTGATCTAACCTACCTTTATTTATTGCAGATGTGTGTCAGGTCTCTAACCTGCTTCCTGCACTGAGATCTTTACACTGTTGTCTACCTTCCAGGTATCTTCATGTTTCTGCTTCCTCTCCCTCAGTTCTCTCTGCAATTGCAAGATGCTCCTGTAGGAACACTGGAAGTAGTCTCATGCTATCATTTTTCTTCTAAAACAGCATATACTTCAGAGTTGATTAGCATTTCCTATCAAGAAGGCTTTTTCTTGGTCTTTTTGAGTTTAAGATTGATACTTTGAAGTGACAGAGCCAGAAATTTGTTATGCTCAAGTGCAGACTCTAATTACTTTAATCCTAACACATCCATTTCAAGGTTCACAAAAATCTTAAGGAATACCTGGATAAATAAAATCAATATGTAGTTTTGCTTAGAATGAACTAAGGGCCTGACTTATTCCTGTGTATAATGGGAATCTCCCAATGCACACACATGGAGATGGAAGAATTATTTACCCACTTCCCTTCCCATTTCTTGTAAGCAATGAATACCGCAATGGCTCCATCAATCCACCTGCTCATTTGTCCTTCTAGATCCATTCACTCCTGTGTTTTCTTGTAGTGGTTTGGAATAGTTACCCAATAGAGAAAGTAGTGTGGATCCAATTACAGAGAGAACCGAATCAATGAGCTGTACACTTACACTATGATTAAATATTTGAATGTAGTGTAATATCCAACTTACTAGCCAATTTTCTAGATTTGATTTTTTAAAAAAATGAATGCTGTTCATTGATAATTTAATTCTGAAATATAATTGTTGTGTTTCAGATTTTAACATATCGTGACACTTGATATTAAGATCATACTGTTATGATCAATATCTCCCAATTTCCTAATCCTGCTAGTGTTGATTTCACTGTCTGGTTGGAATAATATCAGGAATGAAGCAGAATCAGAGAGAAGACAGACATTGATCAGAACATAAGCTTATAATCAGAGGAGGGGCTAAGCACCAAGATGAATATAATGAAGCTCACTTAGTTTTTCAAAGGTATTTTAATTCCTCCTGAGAAACTGGACTGTAATACTTGATTAAAAGGTAATTTGATCAAAATTATCTATAAACACAAATGTACTCTTCCCCTGCATTTAGCTTATAAGAACCTCCCACTTTCTTGGAAACGAAAATGTCTTGTGCAAGCGACAAAGTGGACTCCTTGCTCCAGAACATGTGGGATGGGAATATCTAATAGGGTAACCAACGAAAACAGCAATTGTGAAATGAAAAAAGAGAGAAGATTGTGTTATATTCGGCCTTGTGGCAGAAACACATTACAAACCATAAAGGTAAAGTCTAACTATATGTCATTTCATTATAATGCACTACAAAGTTCTTGAAGCGTGTGTCTGCGTGTGTACACATGTTGTGTTTTGGAGGGAAGGATCATGTTTGGTTTTTATAAAATCACTTCTTTGAGCCTTTCATGCATAGTGGGTAAAGCTGCCCCACTGGCTTCCCATATGGATGCCGATTCCAGTCATGGCCACTCACTTCTGATCTAGCTTCTTGTTAACGTCTTGGGAAAAGCAGAAGATGACTCAGGTGTTTGGGCCCTGCCACCCACCTGGGAGACTCAGATGAAGCACCTGGCTCTGAGCTTTGAGCCTGGTCTAGCCCTGACCACTGTGGCCAACTGGGGAGTGAACCGGCAGATGGAAGATAAATCTATCTGTAAAAAAATAACTTTGTTCTAATTCCTGAAGTTATACTAAGTGGGAAACATTAATTTAATGAAGTTCTGTAGGGCAAATTTTACCAAGCAGAGTGGCTGTGTTAACCTACTGCTCTTGGAGCCTCTAGTTCACGGGATCTTGATGAGCCTGATTTGTTGTTCTCCTCCAGGTACATTATAAAAACAGGACCTTTTCCTTTTTATTTCTCAAATATCAACTGTATATAATTAAACCAATGGATAAAAGATTTTGGACATATTACAGTTATGAAAACAGATATACACATCAGAGTAGTTAGGTTCCAGTCTTAGTTATGACACTAACTTGGAGAGGGACTGCATCACTTACGGAATGTTCTGCTCTTGGATGGAACACCTGCCAAAGGATCATCATAACACATTATCCTAAGATGGCCTGGTATCATGAGGGCTTGTCCCTCCTTCTAATAACCTGGCAAAGTGACTGTCTCAGCACTGAATCTTTTAAAATGCTACAAAATAATTCTCATCCCCAAGTAATTCCCTATTATGTTGGCAAACTGACAACTCGGTTTTAAGGGGATTCAGAGATTCATCTATCCATCCACCCAGAGCTGTCTGACTTGTGTTTAGGAATTTGTAAATAATTGGTTGATGAAACATGGCTCTTAAAGTACAGAAATTTCCACTGCAGGACTGGGTACAAGACAGATGAGCAACACTGAGAAGGGGGTCCTGTGCTACGGCAGCAGGAAGAGACAGCTCTTCGGTTATGGGAGATTTAAAAATCAGAGTGGAGGGCCCTGGGAGTGACAATCGCAACAATGATTGTCCGGGAGACCTACATCTGTATGTTTATACTATAAAATGTTCTAATTTTTCTAAACTATTGTAGTCAAATTTAAAAAGCTTTTTTTTTTTTCTTTCAGATTCCCAAAGGAAAGACCTGTCAACCTACATTCCAACTCTCCAAAGCTGAAAAATTTGTTTTTTCTGGATGCTCTAGCACGCGGAGCTACAAACCCATTTTTTGTGGAATATGTTTGGATAAAAGATGCTGCATCCCTAATAAGTCTAAAATGATAACTATTCAATTTGAGTGCCCAAATGAAGGGTCATTTAAGTGGGAGATGTTGTGGATTACATCTTGTGTGTGTCAGAGAAACTGTAGAGAACCTGGGGATGTATTTTCTGAGCTCAGGATTCTATAGAAGTATAAAAGGAAGGAAATTTAGGGCAATCATGTTACGTAGTAAAATAACTAGAATTAAAAGGGTAGCTGACCTACCCACCTATTGTTCTATCACTGTATTTAAGGCACCAGAAATTCTTGAAGTTTATTTTAACATATATGAAGAGCTTGAAATCTTTAATAGTTACCTCTTAATTCTAAAATATAATTATTTAATGTGGAGACACTGGGCACCATCTAAGCACCCCTAATATAATGAAAAACTGTGTAAGAGAACTTTTATAAAATAGTGTAGAACACACTGCTGCATATGGGTATAAAGCAAAGCATGTTGCATTTGACTTGTGCTACCTACACCTGACCATGTAATCTACACTCCCATCAGGTGATGGGAATCACAGTAAGACGCTGGAGTAAGTCTTAAACACAAACGTCTGACCCGTAAATATATGCATAATTTCTATTGTTCTACTGCAAATCGGTTTTCTTTTGAAGAGAAAATGGAACATCTATAGCTATTATTAATAACTATAATCTAGAAAATTTTCATATTAAATACTGTAAAAAATGAATTTCTAAGACAAACAATATTATTACTCTGCAAAGGAAAAAAAAACTTTACAAGATACTAAAAAAGCATACCTGAAATGACTTCCTGTCATGGTAAATCAGCCATCGATATGAAATATAAATTATGATTAAAAATAAATTGATATTGGGGCTGATATGCTTATGGTGCTAGCTTCTTGTAAGCTCCACTTCTGATCCAGCTACCTGGTAATGGCCTGGAAAAGCAGTGGAAGATGGCCTGAGTTCTTGGGCTCCTGTACCCAACTGGCAGAACCAGATGAAGCTCCCAGCTCCCAGCTTTTGACCAGCCCAGCTGTAGCCACAGCTGCCGTTTGGGGAGTTAACCAGCAGTTAGAATATCTCTCTGACTCTCCCTCTTTCTGTAATTGTGACTTTCAAATAAAAAACTCTCAAAAATAAGTTAAGTAGAATGTCATTAGATTATTATAGCCATTTACTGCCAAGTTTGGCAGAATACGTCAAGCTTAGGACTATCTGTTCACGTGTACAGATGATGACATGCCAAACAATGAAACAAGTGCCACTGTTTAAATCATGGATATTTATTATAAAACCAACTGACTTGACCAAAAATTATACTTGAAAATTTAATACATGTTAAGTGTACAAACTGTGTTTCTTTTGAGTGCAAACACGCTGTTACCCAAAGAATAAATAAAGCCTCCTTAGCAGTTTTAAGAAAGCTTATTCGTAAGGCTAGTGGATGTTACATGGAACTACCAACCCTGAGTCCTTCCACCAAGCTAGGGAAGCTTTTCCTGCCTAAGGCCCTTTGGATATTTGTAACAACATTTGTGGGTCATATAAAACTTAAGTTAGCTTGCTGTGGATTTATGGACTTTTGAGCCCCGCCAGTGATTGCCTTCGCAGAGCCAGATCAAATGATTGCATGGGCCTCAAGTGCCCATGCTGTATGCTTCCCACCCCTGTGTCCCTGCATTATAAAGAATGAGAATTTAAATATAAAAATACAAATCATACAATAAATTATAAGTAAGTACAAAGTTATAGCTAGTGTATAAATGCCCAAATTAGAAGCTGTAAATAAGTGTTAACACATTCTTCTTTCAGACAGGGGCACTTTTTGAAGACTGATGTCTGAAGATATGGTAACAACTTCACTGATTACCCTCACTGGTATCATTACTGTGCCAGACAAAAACACGTAGAACTCTGAGAAACAAACTGGGCTTTCAGAACCACACAAATGTGACAGAACACTATGAAATTCAAAAAAAGTTGTGTTTGGGGTTCTTTTTTTCAGACAGCCACACTTAGTCTAGGCACGTCCTGCACAGGCACGCCTTTTGTGGCGTCCAGTTTGTCGTATTCCTCTATAAGCGTGGACAAAGATGACATGGCTTCTGTAAAGCAGTCCTCCTCCATCCCGTCAACTTGCAGATAGTGATGAAGGTGAGCCTGCCAACAAATCAGGTAGCGTTGATCAAGGTGGGAACTTCGATACACAAAACTGTTCTACAAGGTTATGTTATGTACAGGTTTAATAAAACTTTACAGTGGGAAAGAGAATTTGTGTCAAATTGAACATTCTACCTGAATCTTCAAGCTCGCTTCAAGAGTCAAGGTAACAGGAGTAAACCTCTCCCCTTGAGTTACAATCAGTACAACTAACGTCATGATTGACATCACCTTGATTTATAATTAAGTGATTCTTAAGAATACACCCAAATTGCCAAAATCAACACATGCAATCGCAAAGGTCTAGGATTACCTTTTTCTTATACAGCCTCAGGAACCGTGCTTTCAGTTCCAGGAAGGTGGGCTTCACACAGGTGTTATTGGCTAAAGCTAACAACGAATGGGAATGGCCCACAGGAGGCACTGAGCACAGGCTGGTCTTCCAACCTTCCTGATTCCAGGACACAAACTGCAGAGAAGGCTTTAATCTGAAGAGCAAAAATGCAAAGGTAAGAACCAAGTAAGGTGCCACAACTGCCTGCCATGCTATGGCATTCTAATTGCTTGCTAACAGCATCACAGCATAGACCGATAGTGCAGAGATGTTTGGTAACATAACATTGAATTGGCTGAGAGGGTAATTTAAAAAGCTAGCAACACAACAACTCTGAGTACAAGAAATGAGAGTATTATGATTGTTTCTCTGTAATTCCATAAAGTAGGTTTCATAAAGAGAGATTGTGGGTAAACAGTAACAATATAAACAACAGAAGAGGAACAGTAGTAGATGCAGTAATTACAACAGCAGCAACATCAGCTACAATTTTCTGAACACTTTTGGGGGGGTGGTAAGTCATCCCAATTTTCATTTAATAATAATGAATGAAAACCTTCCTTATTTTATAACGGAAGGAAACAAGGCACAGAGGGCCAAGTGGCTTGCTCAGGGTCATGCTGTAGTAAGTGGTGATGCTAGCACTGGAAGAGAAGCAGCCTTAACTACTGTGCCACATCTTGCAAGCTGTGCACCTAGATGATCTTGAGCAACCAAACCTTTCGATGTTCCTGCGAAGATCTGAAATCTGCACATTTCCTCTGACCATGAGGGCGCAGGCGAGGTAGAGACCGTGTTTTGGATCAGCCCGTAGAAGCTGGTGATCTTTACTAAATGCGTCTGAAAACATCTGGTCCAGCCTAGAACAAGGAAATAGATACCATTAACTTAAAAAGTTACTTATTTCTTACATGTATAATGATAAAATGAAAGGGTAGTCATCTACCCTTTACAAACAGAATTTACACTATCTAACTAGTATTAACTAGAATACATAAAAATAGAAAAATGCCTGAATGACACTATTATATAAAAAGTATTTTGGCACCAATTTTCATTCCTGTGTCCACGCTAAAGATATACAACTCCACTTAAATATACTAACATTTAATATGCTGTGTGGATACCAGTGAACATTTAGTGATCGCCATATTCCCTGCTGCTATGGTCACAGGATGCCCGCACAAAGGAGTCCTACTTATTAGCTGGAACAACTCATCAACTGCCTCCGACTCAAAGTATGTTGCTATCACCTGTGAAATTCCTGAATCATACAGCTGTTCCCTTGCCAAACCTGATCTACAGAAAGGCATCCTTAGCTTGCACTTATGCATTTACACACACTACTTACAGAGTCCGGCAGGATTGTCTCCTGCTGTCACTGCAAATGACAAGAGTTTCTTTCAACATTACATCTTTTAAGTAAGTTGATAAAAACTCGATGTTTCAAAATGACATCAAATAGTTAAAGGAAATAAGGTATCTGGAAATATGTAATTAGAGTCCTATCGAGTGATATCTGAGCTTTCTACAGTACTGGTTTGCGTGTGATAGAAACTTAAAAATGTATTTAATCTACCTAACAAGTGTAGGAGCTGGTACTGCTAGTGTTACAGAGGAGAAAAGTCAAACTCTCATTGTTAAGTGACAGAATTAGCGATCAGACATACAACTGTGCAATCTCAAAGGACTCAAATCATTTAATAACAATCACAGCTGAACTGTAACGATTACATCTTCACAAACCTAAAAATTTAACTACTAGATTAAATTTCAGTTTATTACATTTTTAAAGTTACTTCCAACAAGCATTCATTTCACTGAAAAATGGTTGCTATTACCAAAATTTTACAGTTTCTGCGCAAATAAAGATATAATTAGTTATTGTAAGCTCTTTTATCTTTTTTTTTGGTAATGTAATCCAAGTTCTCAAGAAATCAGAATTCAATCATGCCTTACCTTCGAGGGGGAATGTTAACATCTGCGAGGGTATACAGAGGGGTTAGGCTTGATACAAGATAATGAAGTTGAGGAAAAGGAACTAAATTCATGCTGATTTCATTAAGGTCCATATTAAGAGATCCTTCAAATCGTGCCGAGCTAAACATTACAAGAATGAGAAAAAACTTTTAAATACTTTGAATGTGGCTTAACTTATTTAGCAGGTATGTTCTCAATTTTATTTTGCATATGCTTTTTCAATGCAGAATATATGCTTGCTTTTCTGCATTAATGACATTTAGTATAACAATCATGCTTAAAGATAATTAAAATACAACACACAACATTTGTAGCAGTTATTTCTGGATTATTAAAAGTGTAACAATCTACTATTATGCTTGCTCATTACACATATAAAATATCATGTAAGAAAGATCGTAGGGGCTGATACTGTGGCACAGTATGTAAAGCTGCCACCTGTGACACCAGCATCCCTTATGGACACGGGCTCAAGGCCTGATTGCTCTACTTCTGATCCAGTTCCCTGCTAAATGGTCTGAGAAAGCAGCAGAAGATGGTTCAAGTACTTGGGGCCCCACCATCTATGTAGGAGACCTGGAAGCAGCTCCTGGCTTTGGCCTGACTCATCCTTGGCTTTTGTGCCCTTGTGGGGAGTGAAAGAGTGGGTGCAAGATCAGTCTCTGTCCGACTCAGAACTTCAAATAAGTAAATAAGTAGTAAATCTTAACTGTAGAAGGACATTGTGACCCTGGAGGGTCAACAAGCACAGGGTTACAATTGATAGGATAACATTTGTATGCGAACAACCGAATGGATATCTTTTGTATAACTGATTGGATATCATCTGTATGAGAACAACTGAGTGGACAGCACTTGGTGGGATATACAAATCAAAAGAGTTCCAAACAAGGGTATAGAAACAATTGATGGGTTCTGTAGATAAGCTCAATACCTCCTCCCTTATCCTATATGACCCTCTATAAAGTCTGATGCCACTAATAAACTACGGCAAAGGACCATTAGTCAGAGTCCACACGTGTTATTATAGGCTCCTGTCCACCAAGTCTCATTGCTGCTGGACAGCGATACTCAACAACAACAATAACAAAAAGCTGAATAAAAAGATACTGACAAACACATATAAATTCATGATTTTAATTATTCCAGGAACAAAATATCTTAATGATCTTTTTAGTGCATCTTATGACCGAGAATATAGTAATGCTAAAGAAATCTTTGACAACAGTCATGGAAATATTTAGAACTAGTTAATGAGATATAGATTAGCTGGCTTGACATATAAAACAATTGTTTCCCTGCATAATCATGATCAAGTATTTCTGAAATCCGACTTTCTCAAGATTTGTCATCATTTAACACTCAGGAATACTCCACAGAATGTACTTACTAAAGGAAATGCTGCCTTGGAGTCACAGAAAGGTCAAATTCTGACTGATTACTCCAAGAGGTGAGACAAAATAAAAACAATGGAAACTCCCACAACTTGGAACACCTAAAAATGCTACAAAAACTCAAAGAATGGGCACACACATGGTGAAGCTTTTCAACTGTCTTGAGCCAGAATTACCTTGTCAGGTTAAGTAGCAAATTTGCCACGATGTTGTTCATTGCGTCAAAGGGCTTCTTGTGCCGCTGCCTTACAACCTCAGCACCGGAAGTCACCACACTCTTGGGCTTCACAGTTGCGCCCAACTTTCCAGAACTCACCGCGAGGTCAATTTTGCTAATGATGTCAAATAATGACTTTTGAATGAAAAATATCGGGGGGAGAAGCTATTAAGAAGGGTGGACATAGATGATATTCCACTTGGAAAGAAAGGAGAGAAAGAAAAAAATGGTTCACAGTTACGGTTTTCTCTTAGATGAGAAGGCTCAAGAGTGAAGAGTAAGTTTCAAATAAATACATAAATGTTAACACAGGGTCAGATGTTTGTAAAACCTGCCCTAAAGTTGCCACAGGAATTTGTACCTGATTGTCAATGGGTAACACACAGTCAGCATGCTCGTTGAGCTCCTTCAAGGCCAAGATGCTATTATAAGGTGAAGTTATGACATCATCCTCGTTGGAAGGATAAATTGAGGTCACAAATCTGTACACTTCTGGGAACTCATCTTCAAGCACCTTTAAAAGAAATGTGCCAAGTCCAGACCCAGTTCCTAAAGATCACATTTTCAAACAAAACAAAACAAAACAAAACAAAAGCAACTGTAAGGAACTTGGAATTTCATGCTTTATTTGTACCAATAATCTTCTTCTTATTTCCTATGATTACACATTATTGAAACTGCAGATAAAATGAAGGCAACATGAGGGACACACACTAAAACATGGAAATGGAGATGCATAGGAAATTATTCTTTCACAATCAAAGAATCAAAGAAGTAGAAACAGCAAACAAAAGTGAAGGCAATCTTTTTCTCTAGTTAAGAAAAAAAAAATTAAAGCTAGATTTAATTTTGAACATGATTAAATGCACATTTCATACAATGTTGGTGCCAGCACAGGGAAATGGAAACTTTTAATACAACGTGCTACTATGAATTGGTACAATGCTACAGGAATGAGTATTTATATCCAAATATGCACATTAATATCCATATCTCATATATGAACATGAATAATATAGTATCAAATTGAAAATGTACATATCCTTTGGTTTCTACTCTTCCTTTTTAGGATTACTGCCTCACCAACAGTGGCACAAACACACAGATACACAAGGGTGCTTCGAAAAGCTCATGTGAAGCCAAACTAAAGTGCTTATTTTGGTGTTGGTATAAAAAAAATCCAGTCTTAAACGTACACATTTTTCCATGAACTTTGCGAAGATCTTCATATACCAGATGTTCATGTCAGATGGTTTGTACCATGGAAACACCATAAACACCATTCATCAATGGAAGGACTTAAGAAATTATATTTTAAAAATTTTCATCACTTACTAAATCAAATTGAATTCTGTGGGACAGAGCTGACAAAGAAGATGCTCAAGAAAAACATAAAGTAGAAAAAAGAAGAAAATGTATTATATGACTTTTTTTAATGTAAAAGTATATAGACACAATGTAGTATGCAGATAAAATATCTAAATAGACACAAAACCTTTTTAAATTTAATTACCTATGAGATGAGGGGCTAGGGATTAGATGTGGAAAAGAAACCTTTATTTTTAGCTGTCAGTATTAAAGAATGTTTTACCATTTTCTTTCATTTTGTTTAAAAAATTATTTTTATTGGAAAGGCAGGTTTACAGAGAGAAAGGTCTTCTACCCTCTGGCTCACTCCCCAAGTGGCTGCAACGGCCAGAGTTGAGCCAATCTGAAGCCAGGAGCCAGGAGCTTCTTCCGGGTCTCCCATGCAGGTGCAGAGTCCCAAGGCTTAGGGCTGTCCTCGACTGCTTTTCCAGGCCACAAGTGGGAACCGGATGGGAAGTGGAACATCCAGGATACAAACCAGCACCCATCTGGGATCCTGGCAGATGCAAGGTAAGGACTTAGCCACTGAGACATTGCTCTAGGCCCTTTTGCCATTTTCAATGAATTATGAATAAAATATATTTTTCCTGAAGTTTTGGGTAATGAAAGAATTAAAAACAGGCATCAGGCCTGGCACCGTAGCCTAGTGGCTCAAGTCCTCACCTTGCATACGCCAGGATCCCATATGGGTGTCGGTTCATATCCTGGCTGCTCCATTTCCCCTCCAGCTCCCTGCCTATGGCCTGTGAAAGCAGTAGAAGATGGCCCAAAGCCTTGGGATCCTGCACCCAAGTGGGAGACCTGGAAGAAGATCCTGGCTCCTGGCCTCAGATTGGCTCAGCTCTGGCCATTGCAGCCACTTGGGGAATGAACCAGCGAATGGAAGATCTTTCTGTCTCCTTCTTTGTGTAAATGTGCCTTTCTAATAAAAATAAGTAAATCATAAAAAAAAAAAATCCAAAACAAAACAAACCAGGCACCATAGTGAAATGCAAATCAAAGTATTTTCTCTGGAAAACTTAAGCTAAACCTGCAGGATAATATTATCATAAAGACAATTTGTTTCTTAATTTGATGGTTATGACAGTTTCCTCAAGGCATGGTCGCATGCAACTATGCCTCTAATTTTAAAATACTTTAATGGTGAACAGGTCTGTGCAATACACTGTGAATGCATAAAAATCAATCACATATATATATCAGCAAGCAGGGAATCTTAATCTGAATTTAGAGAACAAAACTGCAAGAATTTTTTTCCTTTTAAAACTTCCTAATTTTTTTTGAAGTTAGTAAATCATATTGTTTCTATTTCATGCAATAAGGAAGTAAGATATTTCAATTCCAAGGTACAAACTGTACAGACTTCCCAGGAAAATGTAAGAAATGCAAGTTATTCACTTCTTGTTCAAGTCAATTATCATGTTAGAAATATCTTAAGGAACATGCTGGAAGAATGTCTGTTACTCTTCTTTTCCCTTATTGGAGATGAGGATTGATGACAGTTAAAGAAAGGGTGGCACGCGTGTGAACACGGCAGCAACACTTTCCTCTAGTTAGGATCAGGGACCACAGAGCAAACTGCTCAGAAAGTACGCATTCCTCAGGTGCTCACATATTCTAAAATCTGCTTGGAAATTTTATAAAGAAACCAAAAATAGGAGAAAAAAAAACATACTTTTTTTTGACTGTTAACTGGGCTTACATTAAAAAGGGGGGAGGAGAGAGTATGTAATCAATTTCACAAAGCTTCAAGAAAAATTGATGGTCTACGCATAATTCAAATGCAAACACACCAAACAGCTCTGTCTTTATCATGCACAGGTCTGAAAACAAGATCTGTGTTCGCAAAGGGAGTTCCGCCTTGCAGCTGGGCTGCCCTAGTGAGCAGGTGCGTGACCTTACCTCCTCCCATGGAGTGGATGATGAAGAAGCACTGTAGGCAGTCGCAGTGCTCGGCCGACTTCCTGAGCTTCTCAACGATCTGCTCTTGGTAAAGGCGGCCAAAAACTTTGTGACCCACAGCCCTGAAAACGACACACGTCTGAGAAAAATTCTTGTACTTATTTCTGACTCAACTGGAAAAAACATTCAAGAACAATTTGGTGAAATCTATTCTTGTTTCAATGTTAATGTATCCTTAATATCCTACAGATAACAAACATTTGAAGTTACTTTAAAAAGCTGAGGGAAATTTGTTTTTTTTTAATACAAAAACATTTTGAAACACACGCTCAGATTTCCCATGACAAGCATGTTCCAAGAAGTGTTTGAAGATCCTTCATTTCTATAAACTCCTCGAATGTCCTGATAAAGTAACTCATAAACTATTGACCTGAAACTACAGTTTTTCTAAATTTATCTTTGCAACCTCTAGAGATCAATTACAAAACAAGCTTTCAGTTGTATCAGCTGTCTTTTTTTTTTTTTTTTTTAAATCTCCAATTAAAGTGTACTGTGAACTAGAGTGCTTTTTGCATATTAAAAAGTGGAATGGGGGGGCCGGTGTTTACAGAGCCATCATCAGGTGCTGGTTCATGTCCCAGCAGCTCCACTTTCCATCCAGCTCCCTGCTTGTGGCCTGGGAAACCAGTGCAGAATGGCTCAAGCCCTTGAGCCCCTGCAGCCAGGTGGAAAACGTGGAAGAGGGTCCTGGCTTCAGATTGGCTCAGCTCTGGCCATTGCAGCCATCTGGGGAGTGAACTAGAGGATGGAAGATCTTTCCATCTGTCTCCTATCCTCTCTTTAACTCTGCCTTTCAAACACAAATAAAATAAATCTTAAAAAAAAAAAAAGAAAAAAACAAAAACCAAGCAGAATGTGGGCTAGGCATTTGGCCCAGTGGTTAAGTTGCTATTTGCGATGCCTGCCTAACAGCTCCACTCCAGCTCTCCTGGGGAGGGAGGGAAGGAGGGAGTGAGTGTGTGAGTGTTTTGGGGGATGGGAGAAGGCAGCAGGTAGCAACTCAAGTAATTCAATCCCTGCCACCCACATGGCATATCTGAAATGGTTTCCTGGCTTCCAGTCATATAATAAGTTATCTAACATTTAGAGAAAAGCCAGTTGGTTAGTCAGATGGCCTGGCCTTATTAAGTCATTTAATGTTCTCCCCAAAGTAGTCTCCTTGAAATCAAGATTAAAATTTATGCTCTAGCAAAAGCATATCCCACTTCACATTATGAATGTGAGGGGCTGGCTGTAAATACTTACAACAATAAATAAAAAGACTTGCAAATAAGGAGCTACTGCATTTTAATCTGGTAGGAGAAAAAGTCTCAATATGAAATCTGAGATGACCATGGTTGGAGCCTTTCCCCATTTCAGAACAGGGGCCATTTGATAATCATTCTTAAAGGAATTCTTATAGCAGCCCAGAGTTCTCCTTGAATGCTGGGATAGTGGCGTGGTTTTTCATCTCTTTATCAATTCTACCTAAATCTGACCAAATGGAAAAACTGAGTCAAATAATTCAGGAAAGGTTAACAGTTTATAAATGAACTCAAAACTTCTGTCATTACCAAGTGTGATTCAAGAATCAATTACAAAGAGGAATTCAGCATTTAAACCTTCCATGATTCACCTTTTTCTTAAAAGATGTTAGAAGGAAATAGGTATATGAGTAAAAACAAGCACGGGTGGCTTCCAAGCACTGCCCAACACCCAGGCCTAGCTTGTGGGTGGCGACTACATCTTGCCCTTGAGTCAGCAGGACCTACCACAATGAAGCAAAGTTTGCTCATTCAGATGACATTCAGGTCTCACATTCAGCATATTCTCACCAATTATTTCCTGAGCCAGAAATATCAGTGATGAGCTGCTTGTTATCAAACACATCACTCAATGGTCCTTGCAAAATTTCATTCACTACTCCTTCTTCCATGTCAATCAAGACAGCCTGAGGAGGAGAAATAAAATTTAGTTTCCTGTCGGTATTCACTCTGCAAGTGAATTTAAGGTTAAAAGCTACATATAAATATGTGTGTGTATATGTATATACATAATGATTAAACAAAAAAAATTCATCTGGCTGGAAAGGTAGAACTCAATCAAACCATCTTTTACCCAACTACAAAATGACAAACAGGAAAAAAAGAATCTGAAAAAATCTCCCCAGCTCAACTTCCAAAGACTGAAAAATCTAGATGGAATAACTTTAACCTGAAAACTTCTCAGTATGAAGGGTAAGCTCATGAACTTGCTAACCAAGAACGACCACACTGCTCTATTAATCCCATGCACAGCCAATTCAAATCATAAACTTGTCATTATCTGCAAAGTCAAGGCTCTGGAGACGTCAGAATGACAACGGTGCCACCCCTGCCAAGTAATTTATGATCTCATTCATTACACAAAATGACAATGGAGTTAACTTCTAGTACTAGGAAGAGAATAGAGTACATAAAATTAATTCTGGGAAAACCAGAAAAATACACAGGTAGGAAGTGTAGCCAAATTTAGGTATATTGAATTTAGCCATAGAGCATTCTAAGCACCAAGTTATGTTGTCAAGTCTGGACTCCTCAATGATCACAGTCACATGACACCAAGAGTTCTTCAAGAGAAACAGAAGAGTACTTTCTCAGGCAAAGAGCACAGACTACAGCAACACACAAGGATGGACTTTTCCTCTACTTCCTATCCTGCCCATACACAAGGGACGGGGAAAGAGCTCAGATTGGGAGTGGTCTAGAAAACGTCAGTTTCTCTCTGCAAGGTCATGGAATATGCTGTTAATCAGTTATCTGAATGGCCCCAAAGCATATGGTTTCTGCCCCAACTTGCGTTTCCTAAGGACAGATCACAGGTACAGCATGGTTCCCAGGTGTTACAACACCCCTGCCTTCTGGTGTTTCAGCTCCTGTTACAGGTGTGTGTGACCCTTAGCATCTTCTTCCCCCAGCGTTTAAATAGCCCTTTTTGTTGTAGTCAGACTACTAATCAACAATTGCAAAAAGCAGCTTATTGCGCAGAACTACAGAAAAGCCGCAACGAGATTAAGACTGCAGGTATGGACTACTGACTCGGGAGTATTCTTGATTAGATGGTTATGCCATTTATCATTATAACATGGCTGAATCCATCATGCATATTAGTAGCAATCTTATGTAAATAAAACTTGCAATATTTTTCAATGAAAAATGGGCCTTAGTACATGGGACCTTCAAGAAGTAAAATAAACTTTCTTTAGTGCAAGAAATTTTTGAAAATCAAAACACAGTCTTTTCATAGTATGTCATTTCCGATGACCTTTCTGAAGACTACTTACACGTATTTCAGGGACTTAAGAGTTAAGAAGAATCCTTGTTTAGACATCAATGTTCTTGAAACAGTGAGGGAAAACATGGTCATAGTGTTTCAGATGGACACAGGTGTCTGCCTAGCTATTTTTATATTAAACGTGGCTTAAATTGTTTTTTTGAGAAGTTATTTCTTTTTTTTTTTTTTTTAAAGATTTATTTTTATTATTTTTTCATTGGAAAGGCGGATATACAGAGAGGAGAGACAGAGAGGAACATCTTCCGTCCGATGTTTCACTCCCCAAGTGAGCGCAACGGGCGGATACTATGCCGATCCGAAGCCAGGAGCCTCTTCCGGGTCTCCCACACGGGTGCAGGTTCCCAAAGCTTTGGGCCGTCCTCGACTGCTTTCCCAGGCCACAAGCAGGGAGCTGGAAGGGAAGCGGGGCTGCCGGGATTAGAACCGGCGCCCATATGGGATCCCGGGGGTGCAAGGCGAGGACCTTTAACCACTTGCGCCAGCGCGCCGGGCCCAGAGAAGTTATTTCCATTGACACATTATAGAAGCTTAAGTATAGGTATTTTAAGAACTCAATCAATGTAAGCATCCAAGTGTATATCTTACTCGAGCTTTTAAAGAACTTATTTTCCCCTTGGAAATATCGCCACCATCACCAGCCACCCTGAAAGATAAGAAAATGAGAAAAAGTCATAAGACTGTCCACGGCTAATAGTGCTATTGGGCAATAAGGTTAACTTCCATCTGCCATTCCTTACCTCCTTGGCTCCCGCATACCTCCTATTAGGCTGGAAGAGGGAGACACTGATCGCTGTCTGTCTTTGTTAGGGCTGGCCATTTAATGCAGTTCTAGCCACGAGTATAAAGGCAAGTATTCTGGAAATCTTTTGCGATATAAAGGATCAGAGACAACTGATGTCAATCTTTCTTTTTCCTGGATAAAACATATATCTGGAGGTGATTCCTGGGGTGTAGACTACCATTTTATAATCATGGAATAATAAACATGAAGAAAACTAGCCAGTACATGAAGGATAGTGGGACAAAATCCAGTATCTTGGTCTTGGATACACAGCTCCTGCCTAACCTGGACCATCTGATTTCCAGATTTCTTGGCCTGCGAGCTGAATGGATGCTTTTAATGCTTATGTCAACCTTAATGAGGTTTCCTACTGCAGCCAAAAATATGCATGGCTGATATGACAGTTAAACAGCATTGATTATCTAAGGCTGTTTCTACAATTTCATGTTGCAAGTAAGTTACAAATGATCACTTTTATGAAATTTTTGAGCCAACACAATCTAAGGGTTAACCAGAAGATAAAACACATGAAAGAAAGCTGAGAAGAGATGTTTCATACACTGGGGTTGATAAACTTCAGTCTTCAGACCCAAGGCAATCAATTACCGATTTCCTAAATAAAGTTTTATTCAAATAAACCTATTCATGCTACAGGAAGATGAATCATAAAATCTAAAATATGTACTATCTGGCCTTTTATGGAAAAGATCTGGCAATCTCTGCTGTACGTAAATTATCATAGCACTACAGAGGTATGATGACTTGGAAAAATATATCCATACAGTGTTCCTGTTTACTTGTCAAACAGCGACAAGTGTTGCCAGGACACGGGAAGAAGAGCGAGACGCCACTCTCCTTCTTACTCCATCTGCATGAGGAAAACAATGTTCTCAGCTTCAAACGTAAAATAGAACAGTTCAGAGTCTAGGTATGTAATGCCTGTTTATTAAGAAAAGATGCCAGGCTGAATCTCAATTTAGCAAAGGGGTGGCTCTCAAGAGCCGCCAGCTAGCACCTGGCCTGGACCCCACAGTCCATAAGCAGCCTTCTGGTTAGAACACAGCTGTTCAGGTAGACTTCTCACAAGGCTACACGACTGTCTTGTCTTTACGAATTAGCGTCTCCACTGCCAACTGATAGACTTTCTGCTTTTGAATCCCATTTGAGTTTGCTTAACCTGACAGTATTGCAGCACACTGGACCCATTTTCAGAGTACCAACAACAAGGTTTATGAATTTGCAAGCTTCATCATAAGACCATGGAATCCACCAAAAGGTGACGATTAATTACCCTTCCAGAAAATAACCTTCCTCGTCTTCACCAGCCATCTAATTCAAACTACAACTAGGTTATAGTAAGGCCTGCTAGTAGGTATATATGTGGGCATATATACACATATATTTTAGCTCAAGCTCATCAGTTTCAGGAAGTATTTTGAAAACATAAACCTAATGATTTCACATGGAAAGTTTGCAGACAGAATCTGAATGTCAATTTATTCTTTCAGATACACATAGCTTTTATTACACAAAGTACTTTGACAACTGTTTCTCTTTTGAAAGCATATTTTACACTTAGAGCAAATGTCCTTGATCACAATTAGTGTCAGGAAATCCAAACACCATCAGGGAAAATGTAATCATTTTCTTTAGTGAGAGCATACGTTTAAAGAAGTCTCATTACAGGTTCTTTCTGTACCTTAAAATAGCCTGAAAACAAAACCGGTTACCCTGCTCTTAAAATAATGTACTATTAATGTGAAAGGAGAATAAAGACGCCTTCAATGAGAAAACCAAAAAGAAAAAAAGAAACCAAAACCCAGAGAACTTCCTAGCTATCAACTTTTCCCTGTTCTTTGATGCATTCCGTCCTAATCTACTGATATAAAAAGTGCCCTCAGGACAATTTTGTTTCACTTTACCTGGTGTCCACGTTTCTAAAGAAGCTGCTGAGCGCCTCATCGTAAATTCCTTTCTAAAAAGAAAGAAAGCAAAGGAAACCACATCTATTTACAGCACTTCAATTTTGCGAGTTTTCTCCAAATCCTTTCAATTTTAATAACCCCACATCCTGGACCAGCTAAGCTGTGGCTCTGACAACCAGGAGCCTGCCCTGATTTATTCCAGTCTTCCAGTTCAGTAAGGGGTGCTAAGGACTCCCCCCCCCCCCAAGATTGTAAAACCGGGGCACAAGAGAAGCAGGACAACTGTTGAGACCAGCGTCTCTGTTAACACGGCTTGTATCCGTCCCTCAGGGCGCAGGCACGGGGCTCTCCTGCTGATCTGCTGCAGGGGGATGAGGGGTGTGGGGGGCTCCGGGCAGCAGGGTGTCGGTACCTGGTTGACCGCGGCGTGCTCCCTCAGCACCAGGTCCCAGAAGCAGCAGCCGATCTGGTTCCCGCACTGACCGACTGACCGCAGGAGAGCAGGAGGAAGAGAACGGACAGTAAGACACAAGCTCAGCTCACCCTGTAGGACTGCTGACTGGGCCATTTCGCCTAACCAGGAGCCGACCTGGGCAGCTTATCCTGTAGGACCACCGACTGGGTCATTCCCCCGACCTGCAGCCGCCCTGGGCAGCTCACCCTGCACGACCACCGACCGGGTCATTCTCCCGACCTGCAGCCGCCCTGGGCAGCTCACCCTGCACGACCACCGACCGGGTCATTCCCTCGGCCTGCAGCCGCCCTGGGCAGCTCACCCTGCACGACCACCGACTGGGTCATTCCGCCTGCCTGCAGCAGTCCCGAGTAGCTACTAGCCGGTTCACCGGCGGGGATCCCCTAGGGAACGGCCGTAAGTCACGCAGCTGCCGCAAGCCGCGGACGTCGTTAAGCACTCACATGGTTCCGGCAGAGGTTTTTCGTCAGAAGTGTCGCGCAAGTGCACTGCGTCTCGCCGTTACCATAGCGACTGGGCCTCCCTTCCGCCGATCTTCGAGGCCTTGTAAACATCTTTGAGCATCAGCAGCTCCTGAGGCCAGGGTAACCGGCTGGTTAGTTAGATTTTGGAGTGGATTTAAAACCTGTGTGTCTTTCGTGGGGATGGGAGGTGATATCCAATGTTTAATTCATGGTGTCAACTCCCTGGGCATGGGATCAAATTTTATTATAGCCGCATGGGACGCCGCGTTAACATCTCTTGCCAACCAGTCCTTAATTCTAATAGAAAACCAAGGCAGTGAGCACAAGGCAATCCCAGACAGATATGTCAGAACACAGCAGAAAGTAGATGGTTACACACTCAGATAAAAATGGTTGGGGAATGTGAAATAGTCCCACCGTTAACCTCCAGTTCCTCTGGGAGGAGTCCAAAGAAATCGACCTAGATCACACTATGAGAGGTTTACAATCAAATTGGACACCTCCCCACATACACACATCGGTGAACTGTGATGGTGTGTGGCAAAGACTATAAGTGAAATAGGGTTCAGTGGATGAGGATGTAAATGAGTAAATAAATAGAAATCTGGTGGGATTAAGCCAGACATTTAATGTAGACACAATGTCTGGAAACTTCTATTCATCAGATTAAATCAGACTTAAGTACGCATTTGTTTAATGAAATTAATGCTTAAACAAACCAGAGGACCATAAGACACTAAGTCTACTCTGTTCTACTCTATTTAATAAAAGGTTAAGTTCTATCCTCTATTGATGTGGCAGTGTGAATCATGATATTTGATAGATTAGAACACTATTCCTTTGGCAAGACAAATAATAGTTATTATATATCTCACGTAGGAGTTCAATTTGAAATGGGTTGCTCAGGTAGCCCCTGATTTCCATTTGAATATTCTCATCTTGATATTTTTATGCAGCTTAAAAAAAAAACTTATTTAAAAGGTAAGAGTTATGGAGGTTGAGGATGAGGGAGAAAGAAAGAGGTGTTCCATCTGCTGGTTCTCCCCCCAAATGTCTACAACTGCTAGCACTGCCCTGAAGCCAGGAACCATTTGGCTTACCCATGAGTGGCAGGGTCCCAGATACTTGGGCCAGCTTCTCCTTTCTAGGCACATTGGCAAGGAGCTGGATTGAAAGTGCAGCACCCAAGACTTGAACTGGTTCCCATATGGGATGCTGGCACTGCAAGTGGTGGTTTTACCAGCTATGTCACATTGCCCCCTCTTAGCAGCTTTTGATGAAGAAAATAGTCACAATTTCGGGATTTACTTTTTTTTTTTTAAGATTTTTTTTTTTTTATTGCAAAGTCAGATATACAGAGAGGATGAGAGACAGAAAGGAAAATCTTCCATCTGATGATTCACTCCCCAAGTGACTGCAACGGCCGGTGCTGTGCCAGTCCGAAGCCAGGAGCCAGGAACTTCTTCCAGGTCTCCCATGTGGGTGCAGGTGAGGACTTTAGCTGCTAGGTCACCATGCTGGGTCCTCTGGGTTTACTCTTAAGTGTTAACTATTGAGCAGAGTGAGTGAAAGAGCTGCAGGCACACATTTGGGGGCTTGATGTTGAAGTGTCTCTATGTTTTTGAAGTTTCCACCATTTGTGAATCTCCATATAGCTTGTAGCAGTGGTGTGCATGCATCTGGATCAATGGACGGCAGTGACAGTTCATCGGTAGTCTGACCTCTTACATGTATAATGTGCAGTCATTAGTCCTTCCTAGTCATTATTCCCAAAGCCCTACTTGGAAAAGAAGTTAAATCAAGGAAGCACTAGCAAGTCTCATGAGAACTTCACTTCTGGAAAGAAACATGTTGAAATATGATTCTACTTAGGAGAGAAGTGAGGGAGAAGCTTACAGATCAGCCACGCGAGGACGGCAGTGTGAGCAACCCAAGAGGATTATGCTTCTGTGGCTTTTCACCTTGTCATTTAAGTATGGCTCAAATTTATGGGCACTCTATTTTGATTCATGCTTACCCATTACTGTTTTGTGTCTACCCACTGCTCATCTCTTTCTCATGTAATTTGACAAGCACAGTCAATAACCAGTAAGCAGTGAACATTCTCCTTAGCATTTAAGCTCTTTAGGTAAATCATCTGCTTTCTGGGTTATCGTGGAGTTTTCCAAAAGTTTTGTGATTGCATAGCAGGCATCATGTCCTTTTAACTTCCTACAATGCTTTCTTTGTCAACTGTTGCTGGTCAACTAAGATAATGATGTATTTTAGGTTTTCTTATGCTAGAACCTAACTCTGAACTAAAATCTGTGCAAATCAGGAAAAACTCTTCTATGCTGTGAAACAACATGTGGTATGTGTCCATTGATGACTGTCTGGGGCTGGTTAGCTGTCATTATTTGGTTCATTATGGTTTGTCTTATTTTAAATTGACAGACAATCTATATTCATAGGGTATGGTTGATGCTTTGATACACATGTGGAATGATTAAATTGAACTAGTGACCATTTATCGCCAAATATATCTTTTTGTGATAAGAACATTTAAAAAACTGCCACTTTTTAATTTAAAGTATGTAATATATTATTATTAACTATAATCATGCTATGCAATATATCAAGTTTATTCTGCCTGAAAACAATTTTATACTCTTAACATCTCCCTACTCCTCTTTCCCTTAGGGTGGATATGTACTTAAAAGTGGGACTGCAAGGTCAAATGGTGATTATAGTTTTAGTTTTTTGGGAGGAAATCCTTTATTATTTTATATAATAATTTTATTAATTTATATGCCTAACAAAGTGGGAAAAGAATGTCCTTTATCCACATCCTTGTGAACATTTTTTCCTCTTTTGGATAATGTTCATTATAATAGATATGGATTGAAATATATGCCCTTGTGATTTTAATTTGCATTTTCCTGATGATTAGTGGTACTTGACATTTTTCATGTATCTGTTGGCCATTTGTGTGTCTTTTTTTGACATTTTTATTCAAGTCCCCTGATAATTTTCAAACTGTATTTTTTTCTTGTTACTGAGTTTTATTTAGTTCTTTTATAAATTATTTAGTTCTTTCAGATGCATGGTGGTTGTCTCTACAGTCTTTTAATTTTTTCATTTGCGTCAGAAGTTTTTTAGTTGGCTACAACTCCATTAGTCTATTTTTACATTTATTTGTACTTTCAGGGATCATACAGCAGAAGTCATTGCCCAAACCAATGTTGTGAAGCATCTATCCTAGATTTTCTTCTAGTATCTTTAGATTGTTAGGGCCTTACATTTAAATATATTTACCTTTGGGTTGATTTTTGTGTTTGATTTAAAATACATTTGAGGATCTTACAATGACACCTATTTGTTGCTCATAATTCATTACTAAAACTAATTACCTAGACTAGGAGTTGTGATTTCTAGATGGCAGAAAGCCTGACATCTTTGATACATGTGTATCTGTACTGCGCAAGAATTCTCAGCTATTGGATCAGAATACAGCAACGGAGATGGAATCCTCAAAAATTTTATCTGATCTCTTTCTCTTATTCTGTGTAATCCCCTCTCCTTGAGTTTGGGCTGAACATAGTTGTTGTGGGCTAAGGAGTTGATTAGTGCTCGTTAAGCTGAGCAGAAACAGGAACTGGACAGGGACAGGAATTGGGCAGGAATAGGAACTGGGTTTGTGGCTAAAACCATCTGGACTAATTGGACTTATCTGTATCCAATATCTTGCTAAATGAGGCTGTGGAGGGGAGAGTATATGAGGACAGGTGAAAGAGCAATAAAGAGAGACTTTGCAGAGACTTCTTCATCATGGGTCTCCTGTTGGTGCTTCATCCCTAGACTCTCTCTGTCCGCGTTACTGGCTCTGCTGGCTGGAGCACAGTGACTAATTTCTGGATAACAATTATCAAACAAAATCAATGAATAAGTTGAGGAGATAGAGTTGACAATTATGGAAGAACAAGGCAGTATCCTTTGCAGGGAAGGACATTCAAACACCATGAATTTGCTATAAATATTCAAGAAGGCAGGTAGAAGAATGAGCAGGTAAGAATGAGGATCAAGGAACATAGAAAAGAGATCCAGGGAGCAGGCATTTGGCTGGTGGTTAAGGAGCTCATCTCATCTTCAAGTGCCTGGGTTCAGCTTATGGCTCTGCTTGCAATTTCAATTTCTTGCCTCTGCAAATCTTTGCATGAAACAAATGATTGTTAAAGTAGTTGATCCTTGCAACCCGTGTGGGAGGCTTGGATTGAATTCTCAGTCCTTTGATTCATACTAGCTAGACCTGGATGTTACAAACACTTAGAGAGTGAAGTAGTGCCCAGGACCCTTGTTCCTCTACCTCTATTTCTCTTTTTCTCCCTCCATCTCTCTCTTTTTGCCCCTCGAATAGATAATTTAAAAAAGAGATTCAAGATAAACTTTAAAAGGTGAAGCACAGGGCCCAGCACCATGGTCTGGCAGCGAAAGTCCTCACCTTGAATATGCCAGAATCCCACATGGGCACCGGTTCTAATCCCAGCAGCTCCGCTTCCCAACCAGCTCCCTACTTGTGGCCTGGGAAAGCAGTTGAGGGTGGCCCAAGGCTTTGGGACCTTGCACCCATGTGGGAGACCTGGAAGAGGATCTGGGCTCCTGGCTTCGGATCGGCGCAGCACCGGTTGTTGCGGTCACTTGGGGAGTGAATCATTGGATGGAATATATTTCTCTTGTCTCTTCTCCTCTCTGTATATGTCTGACTTTGCAATAAAAATAAATAAATCTTAAAAAAAAGGTGAAGTACAGTGTCTAAGATGAAAAGTGGGTGGACTTAAAAGCAGATAAGGCATTGCTAAAGAAACGAGTAGCAATCTTAACAGCAATAAAAACCAGCAGAAACTGAAGAATAAAATATTTATAAAGAAAGGATCAACTGTGGTACAAGTTCAGAAGCAAAGAACAAAACATGCTTGAAAATGTAACAAATCTGTCAACCAGATAATTTCTTATATAGAACAATTTATTCCTGACAAATGATCTTTTGAGGTATATATGGAACATTTACTAAGTATATATGGACATAAAACAAGTGTCAGTATATTTAAAAGGACCTAAATTCTGCAAAGAATATTCTCTGACAAACAAATCTAGTTAGAAATCAATTACCAAAAATAGAATAGTTTCAAATTCCTAATGCTGAGCAACAGTTGTAAATAACTAATATATCAAAGAAGGAAATATAAATCAAATTTCCTTTAACTTATAAAAATAAACATTTGAAACTTCAAAATTTATAGAAGGCAGTTGAACTACTGTGATTATAATTTGTCATTAAAATGCTTACATTTTAAGAGAAGAAAAATCTCAAGTCAATGATCTATGCTTCCAACTTAAGCAAGCCGAAGCAGAAAAGCAAATTAAGCCCAAGCTCAGGAGAAGAAAGAAAAACTTGAAGATTGGAAATCAAGTAAGTAGAAAACCTAATAGAGAAAGCTTCATGAGACCTAAATATATGCCCTGAAAAGTTAAAATCCTTTGGTGGGCTTCCTTGCTCATAAGACAAAGTCTAAAAAGTATTTGCTTTAGGTTCGAGTTTCTGTATGGTTTGGCCTGCACTGATTTCACTGTTTTACAAGGTCTTGTTTATCTCCTGTGATGCAGTTAGTCTGAGCTCTGGAGCTGTTGCTGTCTTCTCTATTGGTGCATGACTTTGTACATGCTGTTTTCTCTGTTTGCACGCTCCCCAACTGGTCTCCAGTTTCTTTCTCTCCTCCCTGTTTTCACGGACTTAGTGCCTACTCCTTTTTACCTAGATTTGATGGCTTGGTCTAACAAATTATTCCTTTATCTAAAATTCCACTGAAATTGGAACTGTGCTTATTTTTTTTTTTTTACTATCTTACCTGTTACACATAAAAATTGTTTGGTTAAAAAGATAAACTACAAGAATATTTCATTTGTAGGTATTTTACTTTCTAGCCTTAACGATATAGAATGAGATTAATGTCTCCATGCTCTAATATAAAGAATTGCAGAAAAAGATAAGAAAGCTAGTATTGGTTGAACTCCTGTATCCTAACTATGCTCTCTGTATATGCTGTATGTTTTATTCTTCACAACTGAAAAGATTATGAACAATTTAAAGTCAAACATTTGGTGATTTTACTCTGAATTTCAGAGCTAATATGGCGTCAAAATGCAAACTGATGCCTACACTATTAATTTTTTCCATTATGTATACTCTTTAAAAAAAAGCACTTGTATCCTAAGTACCAAATGTTTCAGCCTTAATAACACATTAGCTAACAATGACCAGTGATTATTTCAGTTTGTGTAACTATGGCACTGTTAAATGGTTTTTCTATACTGAAATTGTGATCATTTATTCACAGCTAGCACCCTAGTAAAAAAAAAAGAGGCAAGCTTTTAGTTTAATATCAACTTAATTTTCTGTAAAATACCAATTACCTGTAACATAGTATATGAAAACATGAGAGTGGGAACCTAGAATAAAATTTTAAAAAGATTTAAGTTAAAAATGCTCACTAACGTGTCACAGGCAGGAAAATTGAAAAGCTATTTGGCTGAAGAGTAAGTAATGTTCTGATTTGAGAAGTAAACTTGGTCATTTACAAGTAGAAAGACAGTTCTGACAATGAGGTCAGCTGCTGATTTTGAAGCCAAGAGTAAGCTGGAGGCAAGGCAGCTAGAGGAGTGCAAAGATGGCATGAGTGGAGCAGTAAGTAGCTCAGGTCCAGAGAACAGGAAATTGAGGGCAGTACAAGATGTGTTCTTCCTCTGGCAAGAGTTATTTTCCTTGACATTTGAGGATTTTAAGGCTCATTTGAGGAAACAGGAAAGAAGAGATTGCAAAAGTTTAGACAGAAGGTAGAACCCAACATTAGAAGTTTTGAGGTTGTAAAGGTGTGGTTAGGATTTGAAGGATCAAGGTGGGAAGAGGATATATGTAGATTAGATTAGTTTTGGGTTTTTAAAAGGGAAGGGTTATTAAGAGGATGATGACATAAATGAGAGACATTATGACATAAATGAGAGACATTAATGAAAAACTTGAATTACGAAGAAGCTGTGTGTAAAATTCAACATTTTTGCATTAAAATTAATGTATCTTGTAATTACATTTTCCACTAGCACTGTGGACCACTCTGGTAAAATGAAAAGCATTGCAAGTGCGATTTTGTGAGCATTGATTAGTGAAGGTCTTTATTCATAGGTAAACATATTTAATATTGGAAAGTACAACAGCACGAAAAAACCCTCCAAAAGCTTTATAGACATTTAATTTTTAGGAAAATTTCAGTTTGTTGCTGGAGCTATGAACTGAGACATTTGGTTCTTTCGCACAGAGGAAACTATGGCGAAGAATCTTGTGATGTCATAATTTCTGGGTGTCCCTGGAACGTCTGATCATCATCCTTCGGCAGGTCCCTTCTTTGGACAGTCAGTAAAAGTGGTCGATTTATTCACCTCTACAAAAATCAGACGTGGCCTATTTTGGTAAGTTCATATCGCTTTGGTCAAGTTAACTACAACTTGCTTTTGTAGATAGGTAGTTGACTCACCCAGAGTTTACTAGGGTTTTGGCAAATCATCATTGAGCAAAGCACTTCTTTCTTGGTAACAGACACAGGTGGTAGAAATAATTGCATATGAAATCCTCAAACCTTAATGATACAGTTTTCTTGTTATCACCAATAAGTATCTACTCATTAGGCACAGAATGCTATCAGATGTAGAAAAGAGTTGTAAGACATTTTTCATTTTTCTTATATTTTGAGAGTTACTAGTTGAAGACGTGACGATTCTCTCAATGAGTTATCGAGTGTTCACTTGATGCTAACAGCTGCTTAGATATTAAGGATTCATTAATATCAAAGACAGACAAGGAATTGGATGGGTAGTAAACAAAAACATTCACTAACAGCTCAGTGGCTCTCAGCAGGAGGCAAATTTGCCTTTCTCCCCAGGGTGTATTTAGTAATCCCTAGAAACATTTTAAACGGTTATAACTTGTGGACAGGTGCTTTTGGCTTCTAGTGACATAAATGCTGCAGAACATCCTTCAGTCCGCAGGATATGCTCCTCATTCCTAGTGAAGAATTATTTCATCCCAAATGTTAATTGTGCCATAGTTTAGAAACCCTGGATGAAAATGGTAACTGCTACAAGACAGAAATAGAGAGTGATATGAAAACCTGGAGACTGGAAGTTATGGAAAGCTTCTCTGGCAAAGAAAAATGGAAATTCACACTTGGTGAGTTAAGTCTAGCAAGTGAAGGAGAGCAGAGCTGGAGAAGTGGGATGGGGTGGAGTTAACATTCACTGGGCATTCACATGGCAATGTGTAAGGCCTGTACTGTATAAGTCTTGCTTAATCCTTATGGTTACCCTGGAAGTGGAATATTACTGTTCACAATTTGCTCTTGACAAATAAGTACCTTGACTAAGATTGCAAAGTTGGAGAGGCTCGGAACGAGGACTTGAAATTTGGGCTTTCCCAAGGCCACTGGCTTAAAACTACATGGCAAGCGTGTGCAGGCAGAGATGTGACTACATGCTCACGGGTATAGAAGGGCTGGTTGGCTGCAGGTGCCTTGGTGGTTGCGAAACTGTATGAACAGGAATAGAAGAGTGCAGATGGTTCGTGGGACAACAGGGTTGGGAGCAAAGACTCCAACTTGTTGACTTGTTGATTACAACAACGACTTAAAAACAAACTTGTTTTTTTTCCCACATAGCAGAAATAGTTTTAAAAAAAGATTCATTTTTATTGGAAAGGCAGATTATAGAGAGAAGGAAGTACAGAAAGATCTTCCACCTGCTGACTCCCACCTGCATGTGGCCACAATTGTTGGAATTAAGCCGATCCAGAGTCAGGAGTTAAGCCTCCCCTGGGTCTCCCATGCAGCTGGAGAGTCTCAACATCTGGGGCCATCCTCGACTGCTTTCCCAGACCACAAGAAGGGAGCTGGATGGGAAGTAGCAAAGCCGGGACACAAACCACTGTTCATCCGTAAAAGATTCTGCTGCATGCAACACAAGGGCTTTAACCACTAGGCTCTCATGCCAGACCAATAGATTCAGCTTTATTTTACTTTTTAAAAGATTAATTTTACTTTTATTGGAAAGTCAGATATACAGAGAGGAGGAAAGATAGATAGGAAGATCTTCCGTCCGATGATTCACTCCCCAAGCGGCCACAGTGGGCAGATCATGGGTGCAGGGTTCCAAGGCTTTAGGCCACCCTCGAGTGCTTTCCCAGGCCACAGGCAGGTTGCTGGATGGGAAGCAGAGCCGCTGGGTTAGAGCTGGTGCCTATGTGGGATCCTGGCGCATGCAAGGATTTTGCTGCTAGGCTACTGCTAGGCTACTGCACTGGGACCCCATAGATTCAGTTTTACTAAAGATATTTTGTGCTTATTTGAAGGGCAGAGTGATATGGAGAGACAGACACAGAAACAGAAATCTTCCATCCATTGGATCCTTAATGGTTGGAGCTGCTCCAGTTTGAAACCAGGAGTCTTGAGCTCCATCAGGTCTTCAGGATGTGTGACAGGAGCCCAAGCGCTTGTGCCATCCTCTGCTGCCCTTCCAGGTGCATCAGCAGGGAGTAGATTAGAAACAGAGCAGTCAGGGCTTGAACCAGGGCTCTGATATGGGAAGCGCATTGCAAGTGGCTGACAGCACCAAAATGCAGGCCTCTGGACTTGCTTTATGTTAACCATGGAGCATAGTTTACTTTTATAACTAGTGAGTATTATGCATTTGTTGCAAGGCTTAAAATGGGTGTAAGGGCTGGTTATGTATGGTAATATCTTAACACTGTTATAGATTATTTAAAATTTACTTTGCAAAATATTTCTAAATGCCTATAACAAAACAGTAAATGAAGAGTCCTAAACATATCCTGAAGATATCCCTCCACTCCCCAATCATGATTTCCCTTGTGATCCAGATTTTTGGTGAATTATGCCTTTTCGGTTTGGGACCCAGCCAAGGAGCTTCCCGTTGGAAGGAGGAGATTCTTCAGTTGGGCCAGAATTGGGGATGAGCTCCAGCGCTACCTGTAACGGGAAAGAGATATCGCCAGCCAGGTAGTCTTCTTGTCTTGACAACCTGGGAAATAGGTCTTGGTTATCGTAGACGCATGCTTTAGCTGATATTTAATGTTAGCAAGAAGAGAAACCAAGGAATCGAAGCACTGCTGCTATTAAATGAGTGTTAACAGAGTCCGAGTGTTTTGGCATGGAGTCTGTGTGTAAGTATGATGGGTCAGTTCTCTGTAGTTGGGTTGTTGACAGTTTTGAGATTAGGTGACAGTTAATTTAACAAACATTCACTGCCAGTGTGTGCCTGAGCGCTGTGCTAGGTGCTAGGATAGAAACAACAAAGACTGGCACTCATGTTTAATATCGTTTTGGCTTTGACTTGACCTTTGGCCGCAAGTCAGCAATAACAGAGAAGAGTCTATGCAATATTTTTTTTCCCCAAAATGACGAAAACGATACCAAGTCAGATTTGTTCTACTTTTCTGCTATTTTCCATTTCAAAACAGTAAATATTACATTGATTTCGCATGGCTTGGAAATAATTGGAACAGATTTAAGTTAGCTAAAGCAGTGCTTTAAAAATCAGAGTTATTCAAGGATGAAATAGGCTACTTTGGGGAGTAATAAGCTTCTCTTTTGAGAAGTTTAAGGCTGGGTAACTGGTGGTGATGTTGGAAATGAAATTCTTACACACTAGACTAGACGTCATTTAAGAGCTGTTTTAGATCTGACATCCTATCAAGGTATGAACACTATCTGAAATAGTAGTGCCAATTTATATTTTCACAGGTTTTCTAGTTTTAAAACCACTCAGCTGAAGTGAACTTTATGGTGCCTAGAGAAATGACATGCCAGCGTATTATCTCTTGTGCTTTTAACCACGTACTTTTTGCCATTTAGAAAAAAGTCAGCCTTGGTCTAGAGGATTATATTTGTATTTATAACTTCCCTGTAATTAAATGTATGGCGACAACCACAGTTTCTATGTACCTGAGATATCTACTGTCTCAGTGTCTCTGTGTTATACTTATATTGTGACATCCAAAGATTTTGAAGTCATTTAAAATAATTGGGTATACACTCAAACTTTGTTGCTGTAAAAATATTTCCGATTTAGCACATGTCATTTGTTCTTCTATTCAGGCAACTTCGAAGATGCCCTGGAAGTCATTGCCTGACAATCACTGATGTTCCCATCACCGTCTATGCAACAATGAGAAAGCCACCTGCACAAAGCAGCAAGGAAATGCATCCGAAATAGCACGATGAAGGCTTTTGTAGACGGTTGATTAAGTCAAGGGTAATGGGGCAAGGATCATCTTATAATCTGGTAAAGCAATAAAAGTGTGGCACCGTTGGATGATGACAAGAGTTGAACTACTGATTTTATTATGAAAAGTCTGCAAAATACATCTGATGATCCCTTATAGATAAGGCACCAGTATTTCAGTTAAGAAGTACTTTGGATATCACTTTGCTCACAGTAGATTATCAATAACTCAAAGGGAAGTTTAACCTGCCATGGTTATCATGCTGGTGAAGCCTTGCCTATTTGATTTTTAACAAGTTATTTCGATATGTCTGTCAGATTTCACCGACATATAGGCGATTCCTTAAAAACAGTTATTCTGAATTCCTTATTATGCAGTCCTCCAAGTCTTTAGGGATTAGTAACTAGCTTATTTGATGAAGTTGTGTTTCCTTGGTTGATTTTTGATTTTTCTTTCTGTGTATTGATACTTGTTGCTGGAGTTAATTAACCCAGTGTTTCCATTCTGGCTTTGGGAGCTTCTTGAACAGTCTTTCCAGAGATTCAGAGTAGGTAGGTTGGTAAGGGCCCTAATTCAGTGGGGAACTGAGAGAGTATGCTAATGAGGCATGCTGTCTGAGCCAAAAAGGCCAACGGTTGAGTAGCCTGTTTTGTGCAGAAGTGTGTGGAGTTCTCAATCAGGTTCTTTTGGCAGCCTCAATAACCGATGGAAATTACATTGTATGTTTCCCCCGACTCCCCCTTCTTTCAGGGATTATGTGTTTATTCTTGCTGGTTTTTCATTATTACCTGGCGACCCCTTCAATCCCCATAACTTCCATGAGTACTGGTCTGGTGACAGGGGCTGGGATTCGGCCTCTGCTGGATTTTACTGTGCTGGACTCAATACTAGATTCCAAGGTAAAGTGCCACGCTTACTTCTCTCTCCTTCCCGAAGAAGACAGCGTTTTTCTCCTTGCTTCAGAAATGCCTGGGCCTTGAGCATGATGCTTTCTATCCCCTTCAATGTCTCTTGTTATTTTTCAAAAACCAGCTATTCTCTGATATCTTGTCTCGCTTCCCTGGCTCTTGTGAAGGTATTTTTGTGTATGTATACTTGTTCAAGTTAATGCTTCTATGAAGTACAGGGAAAGCAGAGCCATCTTGCTCACCAGGTGGGCTTATTCTGAATGCTTAATATGTTTCAAGCTGATTTCCTTTGTTGATTATTGGGTTGCTATGTAGCCGAATCATTTTCTCTTGTATACTCCAAATCATTAATGGTATGCCTTTGTTTTTTTTTTTTAAAATGCAAAGTTACAGAGAGATAGGGAGGCAGAGGGCAGATAGAGGGAAAGGGAGAAAGATTTTATATATATTATATATATATATTACATTGTATATATTATATTGTATATATGCAATCCTGCATCCGCTTCTCACTCCCTAAATGGCTGCAATGTCTGGAGCTGGGCCAGGTCCAATCTAGGAGCCTGAAGCTTCTTCTGGGTTCCCATATGGGTACAAGGAACCAAGCAATTGGTACATCTTCTGCTGTTTTCCCAGGCACATTAACAAGGAGCTAGTGCCTTCGGAGGCTGAGAACTCTGAGGTCACCCACCTCCATTTGAATCTCCCACATGGGATGGAAGAAGCCCATAGCCTGCCTTGCAGGATCCAAGGTCATCGGAACGACAGCCAGGAGCACTGAGTGGTTCGCAGAAACAAAACAGTAAACTTCCTCGGGACTAGGGAGAGGAGCTTCCTCTGGTTCTTTCCTGGTGCCGACTTTGGGGCCCCACCCTCTCTCATAATGACCATCAGGATCGCTCCAGAAGCCCCCCAAAACAAACAAACAAACAAAACCCTAGAATAGATAGAGAACAACAAGGAAAGCTTAGAAACAGGAAACAGGCAATGAGGATGCACTTATAACTCACTGGGTGGGACACAAAGATTAGTTACTCCTCACTAGGGTTTTGAAGATTTCTCTGCACACCCCTCCTAAAACTGTTCACCTAAATTGTTGACATATGTCTTGTTAGAGTTACAGAGTTAGACTACCTGAAAAATAGCCAGGTTCTGCAAAATCATGCTTCAACGCTATGAACTGCTAAATACTAAAATTAAAATAGACATGAGACAGCTGAATAGTAATCTATAGCCATTTTAAGGTGTATAGAACCCAGTTGTATATAAACTAATAATTGTAATGTCAATGTAGAAGTCATAGGATGTGGTTCAGAACTTGCACTCTTTCTCTCTCTCTCTCTCTCTCTCTCTCTTTTAGCATGCTGGTTACACAATACCATGTCAACTAATTCCATTACATTATAAATTGTTACTGATGTAATGCCGGGGTTTTTAATTGATTGGGATGATACTCTGTCAGCTCTACCTTCAGACCAGAGATGGTCTCCCCAAGAAACTGTTGAACTTATCTAGACAATAAGATGCTGGACTCTATGCTTTGTAGATGCTTGCAAGGAAAGAATCTCAACAGAATCTGAACTGTAGTAATGCAACAAGAATCCATCATGGGGGGGGGGGCGGGTTTTGGGGAGGGAAGGGGGGAATTCCAGAGCCTATAAAACTGTGTCACATAATGCAATGTAATCAATAAAAAATAAATTTTTAAAAAAGGAAAAAAATCAACTTTTCAAACATTAAAAAAACCAAAACAAAACAAAAACAACAACAAAAAACAAGGAGCTAGAAAAGAAGTGGAGAAGCTGGGTCTCAAATTGGCATCCATATGGGATACCAGCATGGCAGGCATTGGCTTTACTCACTATGTCATAATACCAACATCACTTGCTATTTTTGATAATGATGGGTTAAGGAATATTATATAGAGTGAGAAATGGAGCCCTGGAGGTTGTATATGTCAGAATACCCAAAATAGAGTAATGTTTTAGTTCCTGGTTAACAAGTGTTTTAAATTTTTTCCATGTGGGATCTGACATTATCTCTTAAATTGATAATAAATTCAAGGCCTTGGTTTAGCTCCTAGTTCTTCAGGAAAAATACATCCCTATATCACACTGTATCTTAAGTCCCTCATGGTCATCTTGAAATTGTCTACATTGGGTATATGAGAAACCTCATATGGATCTTCTTATTTGATTAGACTTAGTGATCACTTTTGCAGTCTTGATAAGCTCTAGGTGTTTTCTCACAATTGTCCTGAGTAGCTCAGCCCCTTCAAAAAATGCTTTAAATATTTCTTTCCCCTTTAGATTTTTGAAAAAATTATTTATTTGAAAGGGAGAGAGAGAAAGACAGAGAGGGAGGGAGAGATTGGTTCTCATTTGCTGATCACTTCCCCAATTGCTACAAGAACCAGGGCTGGATCAGGACAAAGCTGAGAGTGAGAAAGTTCATCTGCTTGACCATTAGCTGCTGCCCCCGGGATGTGCATGTAGGAAACTGGAATGGAGAGCAGGGCTGGGACTGGAGCCTGGAACTCAGATACGAGATGCAGTCATCCCAAGTCACAGCTCAGCCGTCTCCTCCTCCTCTTTCTGACTGCTACTATCCACCCAATTAGGTGTTTTTTCTTCAAAGGATGAAGGATCAGATGCAGTTCACCTAGTACTTTGGTAGACATCATACCACTCCTGATGATAAACACGTAAGACTTTTAGAATTAAAATTTCATTAACATAATTACATGTATATAGAGATGTGTATGTTATATTAAATGAAAAAGAAAAACTTGTGTATGAATTCTCAGATGAAAACACACACCTGGGAGATGTCTGAATTCCTACCATTCAAAATGAAAAGCCCTCCTGAACATGTCAGAAAAGTCACTGCCGTTGTGGGTGGTCTTAAGCTAGCACTGGACTGAAGGCTAATGCTAGAAGTCTTCATAAAGTTCATGGAAATACTTAGTACAAAAAAACAAACCCCAAAACTATGCAAGTATTGAAATGTGGCTTTTGCAGGGCCCAGTGTGGTGACCTAGCTGTTTAAGTTCTCGCCTTGCACGCACCGGGATCCCATATGAGCAATGGTTCTAATTCCAGCAGCCCTGCTTCCCATTCAGCTCCCTGCTTGTGACCTGGGAAAGCAGTCGAGGACAGCCCTGTGGATGTCTTTGGACCTGTCTGGGAGACCCGGAAGAGGATCAGGGCTTCTGGCTTCAGATTGCTGCAGCTCTGGCTGTTGAGGCTGCTTAGTAAGTATGGAATCGATGGATGAAAGATCTTCCTCTCTCTCTTCCTCTCCGCATATCTGCCTTTGCAACAACGACAAAAAAGATATAATAAATCTTTTTTTTTCCAGAAAAAGCCTAAATAGCTTTGCCATTTTATCCAAGTTTTTTTTAAGTGCCTTCATATATGCCAACTTTGTTAAGTAACCTACTTGTATGCCAAGCAAAAATAATATATATAAAGGAAGCAGCTTTCGGAAGGGAAAATAAAACTATTTAAAAAAGGAATTGAACAAACATCAAAAGATGGACAATACATCGTGCTCTGGATATGCAAAATTAATATCCTTTTAAAATGTTATAAACAAGCAATCTAATTTAAGAAAATTCCAATAAAATGCCAAAACATTCTTCAGGAACGATACAATGATTCAACAGTTAACTGGAAAACACAAAAAACAAGTATAGCTAGTAACATCCTGAAAAATAAGAATTTCGCAGGGGGAAATAAAATCCGGACATTGGACATCTATAGAGCAGGTGGAATCAAAACAGCTGATATGGCACAAAGACAGAAAGGAGATCTATGGAATAGAATAGAAGCACAAGGATTCCACACAGTTACAGCCAATTATCTTTTGACAAAAAGACTAATGACAGCTTAAGAAGTGGGAAGGACTTTAGTAATGTGTTGGGGCAACTGGTGATAGCCTGTAGATTAGAAACAAAAAGATAGACAATCTTAACATACATATGATCCTACTATATGGATAAAGTACCTAAACTACAACAGAAACTTCAAAACTACTTGCAAGGGAAAATTAGGAAATACATGCAGCTAGGAGTAGGTACCGACTTTTATAAGGCACCAAAAGCTATAGCAGATTTGAGAAACAGAATTAAACAAATGGGCCTCATTAAAACTAAGCAGTTCTGTACGAAGGAAAATCAAC